TTTCACCTTCCCAAACAAGTAATCTCATAGTCTGTCAGGAACTCTACTTATTTCAATAACACTACTGGAATCCCTTATTTACAACATTCATGGTCCCACTGTCACATAAATATATGCCTTTTTGCTTGCTTACCAGATCTGTTATCTGCAACTGTGACAGTCAAAGGTGGGAACTTAAATGACTGCACCTTAACTGCATTTTATTTTGGTTAGTCCAGCAGAGACAGTAAAATAAGGAGTATAAAGACACAGACACTGGCAGAGGAGATGTAACTTGCTACCACTTCTCCACTGGAGACTGGCACAGCCAGGAGATGGTAGGGAATGGACTGAACACAGGAGTGGCCAAAGAGCATTCTCAGCGTTCATTCCTGTGGCTTAATCCACATACTCTCCATAGAAGAGTGAGCATCCCACCAAAACTGGATTAGATATGGGAGCATGAGTTTTTGTTGTCCCTCCTGGCCAGGGAACAGATGTACAAGGGAGAAGCAAAGTCCTGAGAGCCTCCTGTCCAAACTGAACAAGGAGACAATAGGGCAAGTTCCTATGCTGTTGTTGCAGTCATCCCCAGGGACAACTTCTCCCCCATCAGTAAGATCTCACAATGTTCTTTCCACCACTGGACTCACCTGACATCCTCAGCTCCAGCCACTCAGCCAGCACACTCACCACTGCTCCCCCAGTGACTGCCCTGCACCAACAGCCTCCACATGCATGGGGCTACAACACTTGATTATGAAACACATTGAGTGATCACTGAACAGAGGCACTGCTGTCCCCATCAGGAGGACTACATTTACTCAGTATTCATTACAGCAAGTATTATTCATGGTCACTAATATTCTGACGTACTGCTGAAGGCTGCCTGGTTCTGGTTACCAGACATTTAAGACATTTAACCATAAGACACTCAACTCTAGTGCAGGCAATGACAGTAAGCCCCTCCAAAAACTTCAAGTGGTGAATTTGCATGAGCATCCTGACACTGGGGAAGAGCTCTGATGACAACATGTCTATAAGGCAAAAAGTATAGGGAGGGTTGGCAGTCCTCCACCAGCCCTGTACTCTCCCACACTCCCCCATCAGCCTGGATGACTTCAATGACAGTAACTGCCATGCACATGTCTGAACAGTGACACCAGCAATGCAACAACTGATCCCAGAGTGATATGTGTGACCATAAGGAAATAAATCACTTCAGCTACCTGGCTTGGAGATGCTTAGTACCAAGTAGGAGACAAGAGAGCTGAGATCAGATCCAGAGCTTTCCTGGGCTTCTTTTTCAACTTCCTTGGGATGTCCCTCCTGAAAGATGAGAGAAAAGCACAATAGGTTGCATTTTCATGCAGAAGGGAGCATATTCCTGCAAATTATTTTAGCTTATATGGCTCTCAAGTAACTTCCCTTGTGACAGGCATAGGCAATCATGAATGACATGATCTTCTTACCAATATCCTCTTGTAATAAATTTTGAGAATACTGTATAAAAAGGACTTGGTAACAGTAGCACATGGTGAGAATCACAGGGAAAATTTTCCAGTGGGAATTACAGATTGCTTTGCACAGATTTCTCAAAAAATCTTTAAATTCTTTTTTATGAGGATGCAAAGGCCCTGCAGTGCACAGGCAGCTCTGCAAATATAGCTTCACTAGCGTTTACTAGCCAGGAGAATGCCACAGATCAGACACCACTTAATGCTCACTGTAACATTTATAAGACTTCTGTTGCTGAACAAGGAAGCAAGATAGTCTGTGCAATAACCAAATAAGTGTAATTAAGGCATTCTAGGGCTTATGGTACTTGATTAAACTGATTTTAAAAGTCACATAAAGGTTGTGCTGTTCCACGTTTCTCTTCTCGGTTTCCCTACAGGGCAAAGTTAAAACTGTGCCTTATTTCTGCCTTTCTTATCCTAATAGGATTGGATTTTTTTAAGGGTAGTTCTCACCCTGAGCTACTTACCCCTTGCAACAGTTGGTTCTGAGATAATTACAATACTCCATTGATGTTCACACTGTTCCACTTACAGTAACAATGGAGTTATGCTAAAAGTATTTGCTGTAGAACTGCTCTACTTTTTTAATTTTTCAAGCATATTCTAGATCTGCTATCCCTACATCCTATGTGTGTATCACATCAGGATACTCACTAAGTAGGCACCACTACTGCCCCTGACCTAGCACCAAATCTTGTCTGTGTGTCAGTGAAAGCTACCTCCACATCCAGAATGTGGAGCCAATGGAATCTCCTGGACATTTTCATGGACATTCATCATTTACCAAATACGCAGCAGACCAAAACAAACATAGAAGTAGATATTTATAAGAGGGTTAATTTCAGCTGATCATTCAACCACATATTACAAATTTTGAGCAAAACCTTCATGTCCCAGAGACTTACCTGCAGAAAAAACGACCAGGTAGCACTCTACCACTGTCGCACACACGGGGTGTATCAGGCCTAGGTAATCTGAGGACTGCAGCATTCTTACATTTGTGCCTTAACTCTGTAAACAAGGAGCAGTGCTTTTGGTACTTACAGGACGCATTTCTTTCCGTGACTTATGACATCAGGGAAAAAAATCCTCTAGAACTAGAGAAGAAACCAAAACTTTCTCAACCAAACACTGTTGTCCAGCAAATCTTTCCTAATCAAATTTTTTACCAGGATGAAATTGCAAACCACTTCTATTCATTGGCTTTTTATATTCTCCCAAATTACAACTCCCTGAAGATGAGAACAAGCTTGACTCAGGAACACATTTACTCTTAACCTGCTGACTTCCATTCAGACATGCACACTCTGGATCTGTTCTCTGTGATTCAAGGCTGAAGTTGCTGATGCAACTCTTGAAGATTTAAGAAAACTGATGTTAGGCACAAGGAGCTGAGCCTGTCAAATCCATGCACGGCCAGCCTACAGCTGGCCTCTTCTTACACCAAAGCCATGTTGATGCCTAGAGTATTGGAGCCATTAGTGCAGCTGCCCAGGCTGCTGGGTGCCAGTGCCAGCTCTAGAAAAGGGAGCATCTGCTATTGGCAAAGACAGGTTGCATGAAAAGGCTAAAGGAGGAGATAATTAGCAAGCTATTGAAGATGACTACCAGATAAATGAAAACACAGGTAGTGACCTACTTTCACAGCTCTTAATCACCTTTATCATGGTTCAGTAGAGTTGTATTCACAGTCGACAGGAGTCCAAGTCTTGCTGTCCATGTATCCAAATCACAGTTTATTTTTAAGGAATGTGCAGAGGGAAGAGGAAAGCAGAGTATACTTTTGTTGACAATTGACCTTTCCCCATTCCTCAGGAAAAGACAGGCACATTTGCTCCCCAGGGTTACTTTGATTACCAAACATTGGTGTATTTTGGCCTGTTTTCAGTGTATGTTTCCCTGAGCACAGAAAGATTAGTATTTGACTCATCAAGTCATGCACTTGGAGGTCAGAAAGTATAACCAGGCAGATCATCTGTGTAGACATAATGCATCATGAGCTGGCCTCTAATTACTATTGCTTGTTTTCCACAAGCAATTACCTCACCCACTATGGAAGTGTGGGGTGGGCTGAGAACATGTCTCAGCATTCTGTAGGGAAGGAGGCTGTTTACCATAGGAAGATTTGCTCATTCAGCAATGTAATTCAAAGGAGTTACAAAGCAGTGTCCTACAAGAAGAAGAAAGCTGATCGTGTAGTTAAAGGAAGACTGGTAAAAACCTGTCTTCTACTCCAGATCCTTCCTAATGATGCTGACAAATCTCATGTTCCTCATGTTCCTCAGGGCTGTCAAGCATCTTTCCAGTGCAGCATCCATGGGGCATCACTACTGCAGTGCTGAACAGTCCCAGTGCACTGGAAATCAGGGAGTCTCCTGGATCTGTGTGTTCAAGGGTGTGTTTAACAGTATGAACGAAAGGGCCTTAATGGCCATAATGTCCTTCGCGTTCTTCCTGGCACTGCCCTGATCCAGCCTGTGGTGCTCAGAAAGCTGCTCTGCCCAAGTGGCTACTCGCCCTTCTGTATGTAAGATAAGATACTCAATTTCCTTACCAGGTCAAGGAGGACCAGTGGGGAGAGGGAATTATCAATTTAGCTCCTTCAAATTATCCTAAAATGTTAAGCGCCCCCTGCCTGCAGCACCCGGCCCGTACCTGGATACCACCGGGCTCGTCCAACCCCCTTTGCCAGTCAGGGCAAGGCTGGGATTCAGTTCCCGACAGAGAAATAAGATGTTTTCCACACTTGTTACCTGTTGTGCGGTTTAAAAATAAATATTTAGAAAGTGTCGGGGGGGGGGGGGCAGCAGGGATGGGATTGTTATTATTTACTGTCAGCAAGTTGTTGAGAACAAATATATTTAATCTTGGCCTGTGCTGTTGCAAAATAGGCCCATCCCAATTTAATTTTTCACAGTTTTTCCATTTCCACTAGGTACACAAATGGCACTTAAATCTATTACCCTATAGTCTCAGGCTCCTTACACTACAAATACTCACTTCTACCATGAAGGATGATTGTGAACGTAAATCCTGAAGTATGTCTCATATACTAATATTCCAGATAGTACAGGGACAAGGGTAGAAAAGAGGGAAGGGAAGGAGGAAAATGAAAGAATATGACCAGTTGTATCAGATCTTCATCCTCACCCATTCCATACATTTTGCCTGCCTTACTCACTATAAAAAAACAGTCAGAAATTAGGAAACATTGTACCATAACACTTGTTCACACTGGGGCTGGATAAAGGCACCAGCCTCAACCTGAGAATTCCAAGTTTCACTTTGCAAAAAAAATAGCTTTTCAGAAGGTATGCATACATTTTTTTACAGATTCAGGGAAGAAGGAAGTGTAGGAATGGAGATACTAACATCCTTGCACACTAATAAGAATGAAAATACTGCAACAAACTCACTTAACCTCTCTTTGAAACCTCAATATTTTTTTTATCTCATGATATTAAAAATAGAACATGTTCATTTTATAAAGCTACACTGCTCTTTGGCATAATCAAGGCAGTTTTATTTGCTAGCTAATATTTGTGAAATCCAATGTATTATGTCAAATTTAATAACTAAAATAACATTTAAAATACAAAAGTTTTCCCCAGAAAAATACTACAAAATCTAATTGTCTATGTGCACGTCTGTCAGTGTCTCTCACAACTTTGGAGTCCATTGTCTAATTTAAATCAAACTTGACTGCAAGGTCAGTCCCACAACTCCTTTGAGATTCAGTCCCCAACCACAGGCTTCCAGTTTCTCTGATTCTTTCATGCTCTGAAGGGTAATTTTTCTCTCCATCCAAAAGGTTGAAAAAACAAGAGTTCTTGGCTATTTCTTCCTACCCATCCACAGACCAGCAGCAGATTCTTCCCCAGTCATCACCAACTAGGAGCTTGGAGGAATTTCTTGAGAAAGAAAGAAAGAAAGAAAGAAAGAAAAAAGAAAACCATGTTTAAGAACAAGACATAAATAGGATCAAGGCTGTTTCCTGCATGTGCAGCAATTCGGAGGATGTAATATTCAGGGGAATATTAAATTTGAAGAACAATGATATAGAATAGACAAAGATTGGTACTTCAAAGACTGAGCTTAGAACTGGGTCCAAACTTTTCTGGAGTTCCGTGACTTAGTTGTGGACACTCTAGCCAGATCAGAAACTCTTACACTATGGATGTTAAATAATCTGCTTCCCAGATTCAGAATTCTGAATTGTTAGCACATAATGTCATGGCTTCAGCCACTGAAATCTCCGTTGCAGGCAGTGCCACCAACACTAATGAAACCAACCCTCTCCCCAAACTTTCCCACTTTCAAAGCACATAAACATCACATTATGTGCTCTAAAGGTGAGTATGCAGAACATCGGGACATTTTAGTCAATATCAAAATGCCAACACTTTTGGAGAAAAAGGCAGGAACTGTTTTACAGTACATTGTAACATCCTGGAGTAGGAGACAACAACAAATATTGCAGCCAGATGAAAGTGCAGGAGGGCGATCGAGTAAACTAAAATACTGCTGGCTGTGCAAACCGAGGGAAGTTGAACAACAAAGCTGTCCTTTGGCCAAAAGCTTCCTGCTTACATTTTAAGGAGACAGTATCTCCAGTAACTCCTAGGACAGGAGTTATTTCTGTGTTTCAGAGACGGTGTAGCAGCTGCTGAGCTCTACAGTTATTCTGGCCCAAACCTGCTATTTCTCCTGAGTTGTCCCAAACCGAACCAAGAGATGGACCCCAGCCCCCATGCCCAGCCCAGCCCAGCCCAGCCCAGCCCCGCCCAGCCCATCCCGGGCCCCGCCGGGGGGGCAGCACCGCCCGCCTGCAGCGCCCGGCCCGTACCTGGACACGGCGAGCGCCGTCACCGCCGCGCTCGTCCGACCCGCTTTGCCGGTCAGGACAAGGCTGGGATTCAGTTCCCGACAGAGAACAAGATGTTTTCCACACTTGTTACCTGTCGGTTTAAAAATAAATATTTAGAAAGTGTCTGGGGGCAGCAGGGATGGGATTGTTATTATTTACGGTCAGCAAGTTGTTAAGTTGAGAACAAATATATTTAATCTTGGCCTGTGCTGTTGCAAAATAGGCCCATCCCAATTTAATTTGTGGCTATGATAGTTACATGTGCTGACGTGCGGCTGTATCAATTGTGTGCTAAATTGGATTTGTGTATTATTGCTTTCTAAATTGCATGCCTAGTTCAGCAAAATTGTTCATCAGTTTTCACTGGCTCTATGCTTAATAAGATGCCCCACAATACCTTGCTGCCAGGATATAATACAGCCCATAATTGCCTAGTAAAAAGAAATTACATAAAGCCCTGGTATTATCAACTTATCTAAATCTGCTCATAACAGAACCAATAATTAAATGCTGTGAACATTTCACATACACATATATACATACACATACAGCTAACAACATAACTCAATCACAGTTACTCTGGTCTTTTTAATGACTATGTTTTGTATTAATTTCATTTTCTTTAGTGTACAGAAGGAGATGTGGGAATATTTGGTCATTTAAAATAACTCTGAATAGGTTGAGTATGACACTGCTTTGATTACACTTCTCAACTCTTTATTAAAGAATGCTGTTCCTCTATGCATCTGAAAACATGCACTCCTATGTTCATGTGCAAACAGGTGTGTGTGTCTACACTTCAACAGGTGACTGGGGTCAGCACATGTCTTCTATGATCCTCCTTGAAAAAGGCACAAACAAGACTGTTCTGTTGTGCTCCCATGGACAGCTTTTATGTCCTTATTTAGAAAATTATTTAAGATATACATCTTATGAATAGCTAAAATCTCAAGCTGTTCAAAGATGTGTATGCAATTGTACCTGAGTAAATAGAACCTGGAAAGACCTACCATGGGAAGTTATGGACAAGATCTCAGGAAATTCTTAAAACAAATTAGACTTTTCTACATGTAAAAAGAATCCACACAATGACTACAGAATACTACAGCAATTTTGGAAAGAATGTTAAGTCTTTTGCTTTGACTTACAGCAATCTTTGATTAGAGATGACAACGAAATCAAATATGAAGATACCATAGCCAGACTATCTCACATCTGGCATCTTGGGTGTTCTTGCACCTTCCCTAGAAGCATCAGGCTCTGGCTACTCTGAGACATGACAAAAGGTTGGATAGGCATCTGGTTTGGCAGTTATATATACAGAAGCATATTGGAAATATTTTCACATAGCAATCTAAGTAATGTTCTTGCCAAGTTCCATGAACAGCATTTCTGAAGATCTCAGTGGTAATGCCCAATTACTGTATAATATCTTTTTTTTTTTCTTTTTTGCAGATGTTACATCTATAGCTCTATATTTATGCAAATTGCATGCCTAAAATTGAAGTAATAGAGAATGTTTGTAATGAGGAGCACAGCAAATAAGTGGTGTAAATTATACATACTAACACCACAATTCCTTTCTCTTATAAAAAGCACTGGGAAAAGAAGAAAGCTGTGCTATTTAGGATGCGCCTTTAAAGCTTCCTGGCAGGTTTCAGCTCTTGTATTTGTCAGAACAGAGAAGTGAGCTTGAGCTGTTTTTAGTACCAGTTGGCACTGTAGACCTGTGGTCTTTTTAACCTCAGCTCTGTGAGAACTCCGGAGTTTCAACTTCAGCTTCACATAGCCTCGAATAAGCAGCTCTAAGCACTAGTGCCTGCTTCTGGCCTCCCACCAATTTGATGGACCTCTGACCACTTTTAAGGTGGCAAAGACAACAAACTTCCCTGTTCCAGCCCAGAGCAGGATCTGGCGCTGCCCACTCTGACATTATGCCAGGATACTTCATCACAAGCCATCAGCAGAGGTGCCAAGGGAATGGGCTTCACAGGTTTATGCAGAGAGGTGGTCTACCAAGGTTGATAGAACCCATGACAGAGCCTATGAAGAAGCTTTCAGCTTCATCCAGGCAGGATGTCTCCATGAGATGGTTGACTCAGGAATGCTCTCTAATGTAGGGCAATTGCTACCCACCCCTGCTGCTGCTGGTTATTGTAACGCTGCACCCACATCACCTTCCCTTCACACCACTGGGCTCACAGACCCTCTTCTTCCTCACAACCAAACAAGGTTTGCAGCACACAGTCACACTGCAGTTCACAACCCACCCTGTGCTCATACCTGTGCTGCCTGGCTCTTCCATCACACCTTTCTGTGGTCTGACTCCAGCAGCTTGGTCTGGATTATTGGTGTATTCGGCCTTCCACAGCTGTGCCAGTGAGGAGGTAAAAATGGAAAAAGCATGGATTATAACAATGAGAGAGAGATGCAGCTCCTGCTTTGATTACACTTCCCAGCAAGGGGTGGAAATTGGGCTTTAACACCAGAACACAATTTTGCAGTTGTGTTTCTCTGCCACTGTGCTGCAGAGCGTCACACTGGAGAAATGTATGCAGGGAGCTGATGAGGTTGCAAGGCTGACATGCTGCTGAGGATCCTAGTAACCCAGGAAGCTCTCCTACCAGACTGGAGGCAGAACCAGCAGTGAATTCCTACTCATGAGAAAGTATGACTTATTAAACAGAGCTGTGAATCAACTCTCAGAAACCAGACTTCAACGCATTTCCAATGGGTGATAGAATTTTTCCTTTCAGAACGACTCCAGAATTGAAAGCACATTTTCAAAAATATCCCTGAATGGTAAAGACTCCTCCATTCAGGAGAATAAAAGTTGATAGGAAGCAAATATTTTACCCTGATTTTCATTTTCTGCCCTGTCCCGCCCTGTTAAGAAAGTGACATGGGTTTTTTAGCAGCTCCGTCCCTCCATTTACAGTTCAGAACTCTGCCTCTGGTCTACGATGAATCAGAATTCCCTCTTCCTTGCTCCCATCCACCTACCCTCACCACTCCATCTGTGCTTCCTGTGATGATGATGCTGCTTATGTCCCAGTCCATCACTTCAGCAAAGCAGCAGCAAACAATACGGCAGGTAGGGCTGCAGGCAGTGTTGATGCTTACAAGAAGATGGCCATTGACTGTCCACAGATACAGGTAAGATCCAGCACAAGAGATAATATCACCCTGTAACACAGCAAAGAGGAAATGTCTCAAAATCATACACTCATCCTCCTCACAACTCTTAAGTGCTGATTAGAAATTGTAGAGTTGCTCTGACTTAAATTCTCACCACTGTTTTTCTTCTGGGCAGATGATACAAACCAGAAAAAGTAAAAATTGCTTTTTTTCCTCATGAAAAAAATCTGAAATTTTTCCACAACAGAAACCTGAAACAACTGTCTCAGATTTAGCAAGATAATGCAGAAACAAAGTTTTCTTACATTTTCCGTAAAATCCAGGCTTTTAGTAAAAAAGTAGATTGACAGACTGACCTTGTCAGACAGAGACTGGGCACAGGTAATGTCTAGCACAGGTTCTGGGCTAGAACTAGTGCTCTTATAAATTTTGCAAATAAGCTTTCTCTTAAAAAAGGACATGGTGTTCACCTGCTTAGCTGTGAAGCCTTTGGTGATTTCACAATCCTCCTCTGCCCCTCGCAGGGAGCTCACTGTCATCGCATTTTTACACTGCATTTTGCGTTTGACCAATGACCAGCTCTGCATTCAGTGACCTGCACTTCTGATGCAGAAACATCCTCTGTAACTGAATCTCTCCTCTCCGTTCCATGCAGGTGCAGTCTTATCAAGAGACTGCATATAAGGAGCAAATACAGAGGTAATTTTTTAGGGGCAAGAAACACATAGAACCAAGAACCAAAGCTGCAAGTGTAAATGATCTTATCAAAAGTGCATTTTGATTATTAATTGAAATTCTACCTAACCTTTCCACTCTTGATCCATACTAAGAATCAGCTAAATAGAACCCCACTGGCAAAGTCATCTGATTCTGGTAAAGGATAGTGTGCCCTTAAATTAGCAGCATGCATCTGGTTTGAGTCAACTAACACCTTACTTCACCCCTGCCTCATTTGCAGCCAGGGCTCTTCACACTGCAGAGCAGAATTCTGCAGATAAAAAATGATAGCGTGTTCGAAACAGAGTTGCCAATAATTCAAGAGACTAAATTTCAGCTACCTTATCTGCATGAGAGTACATAATGTCCAAGCATTTGGTAATGATCTACCGTGCTTTTCAGGTCTAGACAAGGGATTTAAAACTAACTGAAATCATTAGTTAGTTCAAGCCTCTACAATCCTCCTTAGCTTATAAAGGATAGCCTTCTTATTTTGTCTCTATGTGACACAAACACCATGAGGTTTGGATCTATAGATGGAGCTTCTAGATGCTCAAGCAAATACAAAATGCAACAATCACATAAGGATTGTTATGGGTTCTTATAACAGGGTTCTTATTTCACAGAAAAGTATGTGGTTCAGAAATTTATTCCCTTCAAAACTTTGCTTTGAATAATTCTGAATTTTTCAGGAAAAAACTGTTGTTACCAAACATGTAATTTCATGTCAGTCAAAAAAATGTAGCAAAATGGAAACATTTTGTTTCTATCTTCACATTACAGTACATAAATATATAGAGAAGAATTAAACAAAAATGCATTTCAGAAGTATTCTGTTCTGCCAACATCAAAAAGAATTTTTGCATCCACAAGAGATAGATCTCTTTATCTTTTTTTTCCTTGAAGCTTCAGTCATACTTTCCTAAGGTTTTTCCTCTTTTAGATGAACCTTTCTGTAGACTATTATCCAAACAGTTTAGCCATTTGCACTCTAAAAAATGGAGAACTGCACTTGGATTGGTCACCAGACTGTTCATGGCACAGACCATCTCATTTTTGGACAGCTTCAGAAGAGTAGATACCAACTGACAAGGCCAATGTACTGGCTGGTACATAGAAAGAAGAGGACTCCATCCACTTGGGATCTCAAGTCCATGCTCTGTGCCAGTCCACCCACTTATTTTCTGAAGGCTTGGCACTGCTTCAGCTGACTTCATAAGGGACCCCCAGGATATTCTAAACTGGCCTGCTGAAGCCACTGGCCATTTTACACAAACCAGGACCCCTGGAGCTGGGAGCTGAGCTGGCACTGAACAGTTAATTCCCATCCTCAAATTGCTAGCCATCAGACTGCATGGTTAATAAAGCTCTGATACGAGATGACTGTTTTGGCACAGACTAAGTAGAGAATATCTGCCCGGTTTCTTCCTGCTATGAACTAAATTTTGCCTTTGTACAATCTCCAGTACTGGATCCAACCTTGAATTGTATAAGCAGCTGTAACCCTGCTCTAGTGTATTAACAGAGAGAGAAAATACAAATATTAAAGCAACATTTTGGGGAGGTAGAAGATTGGGAAAAAAATCTCATCCAGAGTGTTTACAGTAAAATCCAACACAGAATATTTTCCTATCAATGCACATGCAATTCTGGCCAGGCACAGACCTCAACAGATTTATACCCACTGTTATTAAGAGCTTCCTCTGCACCTGGGTGTAGAAGAGAAAGCAAAATGCCAACACTGTCCCCACAAAGGTGTAAGGTGTTGTCAGCTGAGGTGGCAGACTGCAGCCTAATATGTCTCAGCTGATGTGGCTCTACTGCATGAATGCCAGGAGAAATTAATGAAATAAAAGGGGCAATAAGGTGAGCCAAGTCCAGGAGGTACCAGGGTAATACTTCATTCTCCATAAACTAAAAGTTGTTTAATCCTGCTATCTATCCATCCAAAGATGCTTCTACTTAGCTACTCAGTCTAAGATGTTGCTTTTAGTGCTCACCTCTCATCATTAAGAACACTATTAGCAATCTCTGTAGAAAGAAAAAAAATCAATGTATCAGACTCTCAGGATGTTTTTATGTTGGGAAAAGCACCCATTAAATTATCATGAAATGTTCATGGATACATCAGAAGAAAGATGATAAATGAAGATCTTACTGTTGAGTTGTTGATGGCAACAGAACAGAGGCTTGCCTTGTGGGCAGGAAGTTGGTTTATGTACGTCAGCTGGTTCAGGTCCCAAATGATGCAGGTTCTGTCATCAGATCCACTCACAAAGATGCTGTAGGTTACAGATGCAGCAAGGCAGGTCACTGCCTGAGTGTGTCCATACAAAGCCTGGTGGGGAAAAACCAACTAATAAACCACAGCAGAGGAAGGCTGATTTACTAGGGAACTACAGTCTTACTGTCATGTGCTTAGCAAGAACAAGCAACCCAGTCATTCTTTGGAGAACTGAAAAGGGTAGGTATGAGGGAAAAATCCCAAAAGATCTTAGAGAGAAGCACCCTTGTCCTTTACTCATTGTTGAACAAAGTTGAGGGTTCAAGAGATCTTATGACTTGCACAAGTTGCACAGTGATTCAGGGTCCTTGGCCTACATTTCAGACTCTAAGACAGTGCTTTATGCTCAGCAACAAAAAATAATTTTTCATTCAGTCCATGTAGTTTTAACTAAAATATATGCTTGGAAATTTCTCAATATTTAAAGAGCTATTTCTCAATATTTAAAAAACTTTTTGAAATGAAACTTATCAGGATGTATTACAGTGACCTTCTCAGTCTTATTTTTCTGTTTATCTGAACAAATACTAAAATATTTCTAATATTGGTTAAGAAGAGAAACAGCATTTGTGGAGATTTTTGGCTTTAAAGCCATATAGGAATTCCTTTCTCTTTCATCATTACACAACATTCTTTTTGTTGTTGTTGTTTTATAGTTCCAGAGACTTAAGGAGTGCCCAGTTTAATTTTGCCTTACTTAAACAGTTTCTTAAAGAAATGTTATAGCATAATTAGCATATTAATAGCATAGATAGAAGACATGGATTGAAGTATGCTGCTGACAATCGTTTAATGCAGCATTCTCAAGTGACAGCAGTGCATAACCACCTGCTGCATAACCATCAACAACAGTAAAGCTGGCATGGCAACAAAGTCCTTCACAGCTTTCCTGCAAAACCTTTAAGGGCTGACTTTTTAGCTGCCTTACTTGGAAAAAATCAGACCCACCAGTTTTAATATTAGTTTTAACAGTAAATGCGTATTCCCTGCTGGTTTGCTTTCTGTGATATTAGGGTCTATCTCAGTTAGTATGATGCAGGGGAGCTAACATTTCCCTACATGATGTTTGTAGACACATCTCATCATCTCTTCCAGCGTGAGACTGAACTTTTGCTGGCTAACGTGCTGCCATTTGCCAAGGTCATCAGGACAACAGTATTCAAACATTATTCCAATATGAAGAAGCTGAGATGCAGCAGGCTATATACTATGACCTGCAACTGCGAGGGATGAATTTCAGCTTGTGATTTATTCCATTCCCAAGAACTGCCAACTAAAAATACTGGCACAAAATTAGGTCTCTAACAGTGGTTTTCAGAGGTCAGAAACACTCCCACCTAAGCATGGAAAAGGAGGCTCAGCAGTAACTTTGGACTGGTTGTAGAACAGGCTCTTTACAAAGGACTGGGTATAACCAAGTGCCTGTACTTGGGAACTGCACAAGACTGCTGCAAAAAAGGCTGTGACAAGACAGGTTCAAGGGCTCAAAACTTTCTTTCCTTCTTCCAAAGCATGAAAGAAAACATACGCACTGTGAAAGCATCCAAATTGCCAAGTCAAGCCAAGCTAAGCTCCTGCACAAGTTTTAATAAAACCCTTTTCTCTTTTTTTAACCCATAAAGATCCTACCTGGCAGTGAAGCACTTGAAATACAAGCTGAGTGTGGAAGAGAGGAATAGACCTGAACCCAATTATAATATCAACTTCAATCCACCAGTGCCTCAATGTATATTCATGAAAAAAAGTCACATGCTTTTGGCTCTCTACCATCTTCTCATCTCTCTGCAAAGACTGACAGGTTTTCCCTTATGGGAAATATCCTGCAACATATTTGCAGAAGGAACTGTGAGGCCTATCTCCAAAGTATTTTAACAAATATCAAAACACAAAAAAGAAGACTAGCTTCACTGCAGGAATGTTTAGTCCATGAAAACATAAACCAAGTTTGACCATTCAAATTAAGTGGCCGACAGGAACGCAAACTTCACAGCTATGCTCGACACCTTCCTGAGAGGTCTGTGAGGCAGACAGCACATCTTGCCCAGATGCTTATCCCAGTCTAGTGTTTCGCTTGGTCCAGAAATTCTGGGGACTGGATCCACTCTGCTCATGAATACTGAGGGAACTAGTAAATTGCATGGATCAATACTGAGGCTATTATGCTCAATCTTTAGTGTTCCACAAAACTGTGGAAGCAGATCCCACTAGAGAAGGAAAAAGCTACTTTTTCTGCTGAAATATAGTTTCTGTACTTTACTACATTCCAAACCAGAATGTGTAGGTCCCATGAGACAGCTGATAAGTGAACAGCATCCACTTTATAGCACATCAGTTTTTCTTAAGCAAAGCTCACTCTCTCAGGAAATTTTTTTGTTCAGCAGAAAAAGCAGCCACCATGAAACAGTGAACTACATGAAAGCAGCAAGTAATTCACTGGAAGACATTTAGAACCATAGTTCAAGTTTACATCCATGCCAGACAGTCATAAAAAAAAAAAAAGCCTCTGCTAGCAAAGTGAAGGAAAAAATACAGAATTTGTCATTGCATGATCTCATACCACTTTGTGGATTTTGGGTAATACCAAATAAATCATAGTAGAACACATCAGCAAAGCTGATTTTACATTGCTAAAGAGAAAGGCATTATATTGCAGATAAAAAACAGCCTCTTCAGTTGCCTGAAACTCAAATTGACTCCCTGACTAGTATTGTTTGGATATTGATGAAAATTACTGCTTATGCTTTTCTCTACTGCTATTTCTTCCATTTCTATGTCCATGTCCTGATTTGGAGTGATAACTAGCTGCATTAAATGGTCATCACTGAAGATCTTATCTCATATTTCTGTCTTCTACAGCAGGAAACTGCTCTAAACACAGTTTCCCTGCTCCCCACACAGTTTCTTGTGTGTTTCAACACACAAGAATTTGAGATAAATGAAAATCTAAATACTTCTCTGGCATCCCATCAAACAGTGAAGTTTTCACATCATTTAATTACAAACAAAATATGTTTTGGCTTAGGGTATGGAAAGCACTGAAATATCATCTGAATATCCCTCCAGAACAAATGAATAGAGAAGCTTTTAACACTTGGAGACCTTGTTGATCAGTGAACCCTTTGATAGTTTGCCTAAATACCAGAGTTATTTAGGTCTCTTGATTTCTTCAGGGAAAAAAATCTGCTGCCTTTCAGAAACGACAGTGGTGTACTCTAGCTTTACTTGTAAGGCTGAGAACTCACCATAGGTGAATTTTGTATAAGAATCCACTTTTTTAAAATGAAATAGCATATATACAGCTGGTTGATGACTATAGATTATCTCCAATCAACAACTAAAGGGCTTTGGATAATGAGAACACAAAAACCATATCAATCTTATAGGTTGCACCCCTACTTTATGGAGTGACAGACAAATCTTCTGTATTCCGAATTCGGGTTGAGAAAAAAAGAATCAAGAACTTTGCCTGGCTAAGCCTTCATCTCCATCAGCTAAGTCTGCATGATGTTTTGGAGATTCTGTCCATTGCTGTAGCAGCCCAAAACAAATTCTAAGCACCTCCAGGTGATACTTGTTTTTGAAAATAACCCAAGGGCTGGCTGCACTTCAAGAGAGGAGAACATGTGCCTTATTTTCACTGTTTCTTTTATCATTGTAAACTTTGGCAATGCTGCCAAAAGTGAAAAAAACTACCAAGTGCCATTCATGACTATAAGCTATTGGTATAAGGCGTATTATCAGCTCTTGACCTGATAACAGGTTGTCACATGATACTGCTGATTACTGAGTTTTTTCTGCTTTCTTGATTCACCCAAAGGCGTTTCTTCTGCCAGTCATCTGAGACATAAAACCTAATCTTCTGGATTTCATTAAGTTTCCATAGCAGGAGAGCCACAGCACATACCTGTCTCAGGTTTAGACACTTCACTTTGTCTTTGACCAAGGAAAGTTCCCAGACACACACAACCGAGCTTGTTCCAGATGTGATTATGGTAGTCGCTGAAGGACACACAGCACACAGGCACTTTCCCCAGTCCGCCATGCACTCAAATGTAGTCACATTCTGTACAAGAAAGCATCTTTAAGTCAAATGCTTATCTAGTGATACCATACATTTATTAATAGCAAATTGCAGATTCGGTTTTCAAAACTGAGTCTCCATTTCTTCAAATCTAGGAAAAAAAAGATCATCTTAACCAGTCTCTGTGTAAGCACAGCTGTGAACACATGGACATGCACAGGCTGTGCAATCTTCCAGGGGCCAAACAGGAAGGCTGAACAAAGGTCACTATCTTATGTCTTAGAAGACCTGAGTCTCAATTCTTCTTGGGCCACACTTCCTACATAACTTCGGGAAAGCTCATTCTGCCACCACATAGTAACAGAATGCAAACATTCAATGTAAATTTAATAGTAAGCTCAGGCTGTGACAGCCACTGCTAACAGTTAGTGCCAGGCTCTGCAACCCTCCTCTTACTTGGATTGAAAAGCTAAAAGACAAAGCACTAAATTTCATTCTGTGCCAACAGCTCCATCAGCAGCACCCAAACCAGACTAAAGCAACGTCAGGTCTATTACATATTGCTACAATTACATCACAAACATTCTCCTACTCACATTCTGCATTAGCTCTCTTCCACACAACTGGGACAATACTATGGTGCTAATGATTCTGGTGGAGCTGGATGGCACAGCTACAAAAACCCTACCACAGACAGAACAGACCTTTACCTACTTACAACAAGGACAAATATCTCTTATAGACTCGTGTTGACTCCGATAAAACTCAAGCTGGACTCCCAACCACTATTCACAGTGTCTGTGTAATCACACTCACTACGCTCAGTGTCACTGACTTTTGAAGAGACAAACCAAATCATTTGTGCCTGCAGCAACACTATGAATTGCTAAGCACTGATTTTAATTGAAATCAATGGTGAGAACTCTCAATAATTGTATACAGGGAGTAGAAAGTAAAATACATTTCATAGCTTTTTCACTTCCTTTGACTATGAGTAGGTCTGTAAAAACATAACCTTGCCACTTGCACAAATAATACTCAAGTCAGTATCTTGCTGAATTACATGTTATGCTATTCTGGTACCCAAGCTAACTCAGAAGTCTTTGCATATCATAATATTGTCCCAAACACATCCAAAAATCAGTGTGTTTGTGGTAGAGGAAGAAACTGGATCTGTCAAGTGTGCTAACAAGCAGTGCGATGATACAGACCATTTATTTTTACCAGCAAAGAAGTAAGAGTATTAACTTTCTACAACAAAAGACATTACTATTTTGAATGAATGCACTGGACTATGCTTGGGAGCCAGACAGGAATTGACAGATTGTTGTCTTAATTCCAGAAGAAATTTCTGCACAACGAAATTTCTAATCAGAGACCAGGAGACCTTCTGTTGTCCTTACAACCTATGAAATGGAGTTTCTCTTTCATTTTGATGGACAACACAATCACTGGATGGAAAACTTGAGATAATTTAGAGGAAAATGCCACATTTTTGAGCAGTGTAGAATGACTTTGTATTATCTTGGGATATCCAACTTGGGATTCCTCAAGAAACTCAACTATGAGAAAGTCCTGTAAACATCCTCTGAAATCAACTTCCCAGCCACCTCTGGGAAATGGGTGCCCAAATCAGTCAAAGACCACAACATATCATTCATTTTTGGAATTCTTAGACTTTTTCTTATTTACCTTCTCAGATCCATAGTTGCCAAAGCAGCAGGTGAAGTCCTCAAATCCCCAGCAGAATGTTTTGCTCCAAAGAGGAGGAATCAAAATTTTATTTTTTTCAACAGCCAGAATGCCTTTCTCTGTATGAACAATATGCCCAATAGCTCCCTTGGGATAGTCTGACAAGACAGAGAAAACATTTAATTCTGTTGGTTTTAAGGTACTTATGCTAACTTTCCTCCTTGCACAGCTTGTGTGGTGAGGCTGGCAAGTCCCACATCTGGGTCAGGCCCACAGACAAAAATCCACTCTAAAACAGAGATTCCAGACAGAACAGTGGAAACACTCCTCTCCAATGGACCACATAAATCCATGCAGAGGGAGTGACATGTTTCACTGCTTTAACAGCAGTGTCATAAAGTTCTTTTTCACTGGCAGACTGCCTTATGCCATGCACTACAGAGGATGACAGGCATTGACACCAACAGCCTCTGTAATACAGCTACGGGAGCCTAATGTCCCCACAAAGATGTGTGATACAAAAAACACTGCTGTGAGATGAAAAAATAGACACAATGAAATGTTCCAGGCTTCTTCATAGTAAGAAAAGTAGCAGACTAAGAAAAAGATTTTAAGGTTGAGAGGTGGGGAAAGACAGACTACTTACTTTGCTGTTGAATATAAAAAGAGAGAATGCAAATGGAAGACAATGAACTTTAGGTTTCAATTTAAAATATTCAGACTGTAGAAGGCAGAAATTATTCTGGTATCTTATAAAAAAAAATCTATGCTGAACTGTACAACAGATGTTTGAGTGTTTTCAGTGTCTATTGCTAATACACACAAACACAAAAAACAATTGGCAGAAGGCATCTTGATTGAACCAACTCATACAAAGCTGTGTGACTACTTTTGTGCTCTTGAAAATCCAGATTCATCCTATCCAAGAATTATGTACTTATTAGGTCAGAAAATGGAACACGGTCCCTGCAGCACCTTTTAGAGTAACTGGAGAGAGCTTCAGATTTTGCAGGCTGCTCATAAAAGGAGGAAGAATTCCACCTGAGTGATGGAACAGCACAGTCTCTCTTCCTGATGAGCTTTTCCCTTGGGCATTCCTGGATGGATGCGGTTTTGTGAAGAGCTAGAACAAAGGAATGGCATTGAAAAAAATCTCTATTTGCAAGATCACGCAGGAGAAACAGTAATTTAAATCCTTAATCATGGACTCCAGAACTACCATACATAAATCTCTTAATTAAAATAAAATCTTATCCTTATTACATTTTAATCAAACTACATCCCTTCCTCACAGAGGCAGAAAGCTAATCCCAGCAATTCCGGACGAGAAGGAAAACTATAGGTGAAACTTTGAGCTGGGTTTTATTTGACTATACCCATTCCCAGACTAGTGGTCTCTTGTGTGACTGTATGAAGGAGCAGAACCCAGGGCTGATGCTGCATCTCTATGGCATACAACAGGAACAGCATGGTTAGAAAGTGTGGGTGCATACTGGTGTAGTACACATAACCTGGAAAAGTCTATAGCCCATCTTTCAGCAGATTTAAATCAGAATATGTTTCTGATTTCAGTTACTATCATTGCTTTCTTGTCAAATACTGTAAGATCAAAATAAATTATGCTCTTTAGTCTCATGGTAAAGTGGTACCTGCTTTGGTATCTGTCCAAAGTTGCTGATAAATCCCAGGATAGTGCTTTTAATCAGAGGATCTTTAATGTTGTTGAGGTCCATCTTGTCTCCATAGAAGTAAGGATGATAGGTGTTAACTGCCTCCACCGCAGCTGAGCCATGCTGCTTGTGGCCAAAAATAAGATCTATCCAGTGATGAAGGTGTGCACTGACATAGTCACTTTCCAGTGCCTGAAGCCAAAAGAAAATTACTTAATTCACTAGACTGTATCCATTACAAATGCATTACTGTTTTCCAGTCCTTGCTGGAAACTTCTCTGCAACAGAATCTTCACACTTTCAATTCCTCTGGTACCACCATTCTCAGCACATCCTCACAAAAGACCAAAAGAGACCAAAGTGGATCCCCACGGGAAATGAAGGGACAGAGTGCAGCATGTTTGATTTAACAGACACCAGGAGCAATATCCTCAGAGACAACACAGGTAGGCTCACACAGCAAAGTGAAAGCATTCCACAGATCTTGGCACATCCTCCAGCTTTCAGCACACATTGAAGTCTGTGCTATCATGTCTTCACCGATAGTGTTACTGACATGAGATGGTTTAAACAAGCAAAGCATTTGTTAGCTTTTTGTACCACCACCTTACAGACAAACCACAGGTGAATTTCTATTTGTAGACATACACCTCAGCTGTGAGTCACACTGAGTAGCAGAGATTTTTATTTGAGAAAATACATATAAAAATAGATCAGAAAGGGAGATGACTAAAAGAGGGGCTTTGAGTCCGAAGGATACAACAGGAAAGGCTGCATGCCATGAACCAGCAAAGAGAATGTAGAGCTTGTAGTGAAATGGCAAAGGGTGCTGCAAGCCAAGACAGAGAAGGGGTTATGCGATAGCTGCAGTAGCAGAGTTGGGGTCCATCAAGGCAGCTGTATGACAGAAGTTTCAAGACTGCCTGGGTTTGACCAGCAAACATTTTGCTACCCTTCCAGGGCTTAAGCAGAGAATCACAGAATCAAACTTCCCCATCCTCGAAAAATTCAGGGTCTAAACGTTTTTCCCCCCCAAAAAATGTTTGACTTTGATTAGGTTTGCCACCATACTGACTGGCACGTGGATTAATGGGACCACCCAAATGTGGGCTCCCTAGAAAGCTCAATGTAATCATGGAGGAAAACCTGTGCTTGGAAGACCCAGACAGCAAGTTCACAAGCAGTGGACACAAGTTCAACTTGAACTTTTGCCCACCACCAGGTTAGAGAGTCTTACCCATGAGGCTTCACTAAAAGCTACTGCTCCTGCCATCACCTGCCTCACCAAATTTTTGTGCATTCCCAAATAGTCTTGGCCAATGACTCAAGCAGCAGTGTTAAGCATTATTAAAAGTACTTTCCTATCTCCAAATCATTTGACTGTGTAATACTCCCTGATGCTCAGTGAAAAGTCTCCCAAGCAGACCATCCCACCCAAAGCACAGCAGAAATAAACAAGCTAATGGGATCCAGAACAATGGCTCATTTCACAGAGTAGACAGTTAGCCCAGTGCAGCTGGTGTAAATGACCCTGCCCACAGCTATAATGATCACAGGGCAGCTCAGAGAACAAGCACAGTGTACAATCTGTCCCCTGCAAACAACGGGAAAACACTTATGAACAGACTCGGAACTCATCCTTATTAATAAAAGCAGTTAGTCCATGAATTACAAACTGTAAATTTTTTCTGGCATCACTGCCAAAGCAAAACAAAGCAACCAACAGAGCTGCAACTGTGCAGCCTCTCAGTAATTCACTGAGCACTATGACAAGCCCCGCCAGGGAGGGAGAACTTGTAGTCTAGGGAGGAAGTAAATATATTTATTTAGTAGACTAGATTCCTAACTTATTAAACATGAAACAGGAAGCTACTCAGAGTTTTATGTCAAGAACAATTCTTTGCTCTCATATTCTTTAAAGCAATAGCCAAACCTTAGAACAGTGTGAACCTGGATCCCTTTAATGCACCAAACTCATTGTGAAGCCTCCTAAAAATGGCATGGTATCAGTAAGTACTACTTTCAGCCTTGTGGCTGATTTCAGAGGAGACAGAAACCCTCATGTTTCAGAATTCAAGATCTCTGACTCTTCACTTAAGGGTTAGACAAACTTTCCCAGGCAGACTAATCAATTTCCCACAGCAAGATTTTTTGCATTCTCCTGTGTAATACCTAATTACCAGCTATGGTCGAAGAGAGGATATTGCACTTAGTATGTGTGAAGTTTGATCAGGTCTGGCAAATTATTAAGAACACAAATGTGTTAACACAAATCATTCATTTGCTAAGCCGCTCCTATCTGAGATTTGAATTAATCTGTTTATCAGCTGTGCCAACGTTATTAAATAGCGCAGCTCAGTGGAAGCAGTTCTGTAGACAAATGGTAGAGAGGGCCCAGTATCCACATTACATGCACTGTGGGGGCTTTACTTCCAACTAAACCTAGTCTGCTCCCGCAGGCTGAATGCCATCAGCATCTGGAGTGCACAACTGGAGTGCAGCTTTTGTTTCGTTTCGTCCAAAACAAATCTAGTTCACACAATCTGAGATCACTTGACAGTGACATGCTATGGAGGGATGACTATGGATTCATTTCCAAACTGCACCGTTACTCCAAAGTACAAGGCAAAAGCAGATTTCTCCATCGTATCCAAGTGCCTTTGCAGTGCTCACCATTACACAAGCAGTAAGGAGCACAGCTCGGTACTTTACTCTTCAAACAAGTCACAGTAGAAGAAACAGCATTTCTCCCTATGTTTTAAAAAATACTAGTGTAAAATTGCAGCATCTTTCAGGCTTTCATGGATTTTTGTCTGCAGCATGTCTGGTAGGTCTGGAGAACAGAGATTGAGCACCTTGGAAGGTCACAGAGACAGAATGAGATAGAGCACTGAAAGGAACTAAACAGAGAGTGAAAGGTGTCCCTGCCCACGGCAGAGGGGTTGAAACTACATGGTTTTTAATGTTCCTTCCAACCCAAACCAATTTACGATTATATGAAAGCATTGTGGTTGCTGTTAATGGTTAAGGGAACAGTGGAGAAAAGAATATTTACAAAATAAGAGTATGACCCTGATTTTGTTCAAAGGAGGAACAAAAAGTTAAGGCAGTAAGGATGTCAGAGACAGGATTTAAACCAGCACTCAAGAGGTCAACTGAGTAAAGGCTTGAGACACCAAAACAGAGAAGACATTTGTATCTACTGGTTTGGATACAGTCACCTACAAAGTGATTATTGAGAAATTCAAAATCCCAAGGGCAGGACCCACACAGCACTGGTGAGAGGAACCCACTGAGGCAAAAATTGAAGCTACATATGACAAACCAGGATGATGCAATGCCTTGAAAATCATGGGCTGTTTGTTTAGTTCCACCAATGCTAACACATATAATCATCATATTTGTGGTACACAGCAACAATCTGTATGCATTCACACATGTAGATTGCCAGAGGAAATCTGATGGGATAATGCAGGGGCACTATAGAGACCAGCACCAAGATATTATGCTGCAGTCTGAGTTCAATACAAAAATCTTCATGCAGATTTGCATTTGCATTCACTTCTTTGTAGCAGATGACATCACACAGAAGTTAAGACTTTCTAACTATTAACAGATAGAACTAATTGCAGTAAGTCTCAGGACCTTAAAGCTATTTGCTTTCAAATAGCCAAGGCTGACTCCATTAAAGGCAGAAAATTACATTAAGTTTCTACCCCTCTTCCCTTCCCCCCCCCCCCCCCCCCGAAAAATTATAATTTTAGTTCTGGCATGACTCAGAGATAGAGATAAATAGTTTAAATAAACACACAATTTGTTAGCAACAACATGGAACTATATGCACATAAATGCCTGCACATTATATTATGTTCTCTTACACTTATGGGCTGAGATATGTTCATACCACAAACCAAGATATAACCCTCATCTGGTCTGGAAAGTTGGCCTTGATTCAAGGTGAAGTGTTAGGGAGACAAGTAGACAAGCAAAGTGCAGAACTGACACAAACTCCACAAAACCAGGATGCATTTGGATCCAACCTTTTTGTTTTTGACTCTGGGCTTCAAAGTTTCATTTTCAGTGGAACTCAATGTTTTGTCCAAAATCTTTATATTCACTCACCTGTCTGTGCAGTAGAATAAATTTATGGGGGTCCCCACCTGCCCAAGGAGGAAGCTGCACATCTCCAAGCACTGTTCCATCCTGCATGCAGCCTGTGGGAGAATCAAAAACAAGAATAAGACACATTGCAAATAGGAACAGCTTTTCTAATACACTGAAGTCAAAGGAAATTGAGGTGATTTTCCCACACGCAGTTTCAGGTTCATCAAATTTAGTGCCATAGAATACTGACAACCCAGTGTTCTGGGAATTTTCATCCAGTAATAAAGCACTGAGAAGATGTTCTAATAATTGTCACTAATACAGTAAAAATATGCATGTCATCAGCACAAACCATTTTAACGCAGAATGCAAACGCAGACAAGACAAACCTGTTTGCACAACTTTCTTTTTATACATAATCCTGTGAGTCTAACTATCAAATATTCCTACTCAATCAGCCACTAAGAGGGATTTTGTTCTCAAATCCTTTGCAACCTGATTCCTTTCAGAAAGTAAGCATATGTTCTTAAATCAGAGCATGGTGTTGCACAAGTAAATGAATTCAAATCTAAATTGAGGTTCAGGTCTGGGACTGCAAGTTTCCTTCAGTGTAGCAGTGAACAGATTCTGGCTCTTAGCTTTGCCTATTGTAAAATCTTCTGTATATTTTCCCTCTACTGGCAAGATTCTGGTGTCCTTCATGACCCTCCATTAAATTCCACTCAGATCAGTCTCTGGGTCTTGATGGCTTTGTTTCTTGGCCTCCTCTCAGGATGAAACTACCCCAATTCTTTCTTTTAACAGTTTTCTAGCATTTTTTTTTCCTTATACTGCTCTTTTTTTAAAGTGTATCTCATTTCACTGATATCTTAAATACAATTACGGCTAGATCTCAATACCATGGGTTACGTTGCCTTTGCTGTTACCAATTTAGGATGATTCTTAAAGTATTTTTCCTCTGCCTAAATTGTTAACCAACCTGTGCCTACTAAAAAAAGCAGCTTTGCATTGCAAATGGTGTGAATGTCCTGTAAAGTGAAGTGAATCAGAACTGCCATGCCTATTTCTGAATACTGTTTTTTCTGGATTCTCTCTGGCCCTTCATCACTGATGCAGAAAGGTCTAGAGAAAATGTACATTCAGAGGGGATTGTGATGCTGCTTGAGGACAAGGAAAATATATCAAGTTCATGTGATTTGTGCAGAACCTTTCAAGATGACAGTGAAGACATTTGGAAACTTTAATCACCTTGTGGTCTCACATCAGATTAAAAAAACCTCACCTTTCACCAACATCCTTTAATAATTGACCCACCTCTAAAAGTCAAATTAATATATTTTTCATAGCCACAGAGATGTGATGATAAGGCCAAATTTTCAAAAGCAGACAACTAGACTGGTTATATCAAAATCCACTTTTGTCTGACAAAATGCGTAATTCCCTTGCACAGTAACTAATAGGAAGTACTAGCTCCTTTCTGAGCTGTAAACTTGACTCTTCTAACATCATTCAGATACCAGCAGCTTGTGTTCTTGTAGCCTTATTTTAAGAAAAATTGATCTCTTATCACTAGAAAGTCTCAAAAGTCTGCATAGTTCAGAGACCAACTCTCAACACATGATTTGGATCTTTTCTTTTGGCAGGATGCTGGGAGGAACACTTAAGTCTTTTTTAGAACTTACCAAGTTCAAAGTGATTTGCATTGGTTAGGAACTCTGGCAAGTAAAAGAATTCAGGGATGAGTTCCCTGACATCACTCATGTTGTCCCTTGATGCTGATTCCCACGTGCTCTTGACACTGTGAAACATCCTGTCTGCAACATCAAAACTCCCACCCTGTGAAATATAGACAGACAAGAAGACTTCCACGTGAATATTCTGTTAAATAAAAAGCATCTTAGCTAATTCTGCAATGATCACTTTATCACATGTTTGACAACGGAATGTCTCAAGATCTGTCCCAGACATGTATACTATGATCTTATATTAGGGATTATATAAAGTCCTATTATCAGGACTTATATTAGTCCTGATTTGTAGGTATGTATGTTGAGAAGACCATAAGCTTGGAGTCTTAGCACAGCCTGCAATAACACAGAGGCAAGAAGAAACAATCATAGGCAGCTTGAGAATATCAGCATACCCATTATTAATGCTTCTGAAAGCAGTTACTTCCTTCCATCCCAAAGTGATTTGCAAGCAGTGGACACAACTTCAGTGTTTTCACTTCAGTTGTGACCCAAACAGTTACGAAAAATCTTATGTGCAATTCTCCTATGAAAAACCTTGGAGAAGGGGGAAGGTTACCGCTGAAGTAACATTCATTAGATCCAGGAAAGGCCCAGTGGGCAGGAGCCTGCAGGGACGGGTCATACAATATGAGAAGGACAGACAGCATAAAGAGGGGAAGAAAAGAAGAATGCCTGGGAACCACACTGAATTGGTATGTAAGGACGGAGAAACAAACCACCTCACCTCTTGAGAGCATTTGAACATGTTTAGATTATCGAGAGTCAAACATCAGATAAAAACAGCCTTGGTAGCCCAGGACATCATTCTGAACTAAGGCCTCAAGAGGAAAGGATTAAAAAATAATCCTTCACTTACTGAAGGAAGGGAACATGCCTTACAATGGAACCATATTTCCTACAGGATTTCCTAATAGGATTTCAGATACTGTATACATTTGTGAAAATCCAGGTTCACTTTCACGTATGGGTCTCTACATTCAGCACGAAAAGATTTATTTGAACATAAAATTTCTACAGTAATGGAAAAAAAAATAGAAATCAGTTTTTGGAATCATCTGAGTTTGTCAGAAACACCAAACTGTTTTACAAGAAAAGCTGCCTTTTAACTGTATTAAAGTAACAGAACAAAATTGCTTCTCAATATCTAGCTCAGGTGCTGGCAGCAGTGCTCCCAGGACAATACAGATACTTCTCACTGGGGTCAACTAATTTGGACTATATGTCATAGGACATAACACTACATCCCACTGCCGGGGCTCAAGAGAGATTGTCAGAGATAGAACAAGTATCTTTAAACAGTTCTGCAGTACAGTGAAAATTTTTGAATAATTGCTTATCCTCAGCCATTCAATCCTCAAAGCTGCTTCACTAGGCAAAAAGAATAAGCCAGTAGGATTGCATAATGAAGACACTAAAACATAGACATGGTGCAAGAGTCAATCTATTAATGAATATGAGATGCAGACAGGTTCTGTCTATGGCTGACCTCTTGGGAAAACTTTTGTTTAGTTTTCTCTTTGCCTGTAGACTGTTGCATGTGCCAGTTGAGAAGGATGTTGTACTTCTGCACAATAACAATCAGCTGAAGTTTTGACTTACAATCCATTAAATAGGAAAACAACAATTAAGCACCCTCATGCTGTGAGGATGGCATCCCACTCCCATGGACCAGATGAACCTTGAGCAGCAGTTCTGATGGTAAGAACCACTGCCTTTCTGGTTCCCCTGAGTACTCGCACACTTAGGTTGCAACTCCTTTGGATCTACAAACTCTGCTTAGTCTGGGAACTGCAAATCAAGAAGTAACTTTTGCCATACCTTTTGTTAGAGAGACAATACCCTCATAGTAAGCTATCAAAAGACAGAAGTCAATAAATCCCAAGCAGTGAAGCCACATTCCTTGCTTGTCTTTTGAGATAGACTCACACCAAAACCCAGCACATAGTCCAGATGGAAAGACCCTATCGCTATTTCCCTGAGGTGAATTCTGACCAGCCTTCTGGTCCAGCCTCATCTCTAAATGACAGCATAGCTCTGTTTTAGCTTCTTGTCCTTCTTCCTTATACCCCTGACAATTGTGAAGCCTTCCCACATCCACGCAAGGGACGAAGTGAAGAAGTGACTAATCACATGAGCAAGCCTATCTGGAGTTAATCTGATGCACAAGGTCATCTTGTTCTTGATCATTATTAGGCAGGGACCCTTGGAGTCAAATTCAAATTGAAATTAAAACAGAGTAGAAAGAGGACTATAAATAAATCAACAGCTAACAAGTATCTCATTGAAGCATATTAAAGGGCTTTGTATATTTAATCTGCACACAGTGTGCTGTGTCTGGTGGTGATTGATGCTTTTTCATCTTTTTTTGCAGCTTTTATGAGAGCTGGTCGTAATCTCCTGAGAAACAATATGATTTGTAATAAAAAGATTACCTGTATTAAATAAAAATAATATATACATAGGAAATGCTGTTAGCGCGACAAATCTGGTTAAAGATATTACCACCACGAAAAAATGTGATTTTTTCCCTGGCTGTCTAATTCATTTTAGGGAAAAGTAATATCTTTAAAACTTAAGCCTGTATTATTTATAAAGGAAGCAATAACTGATTTTCCCATTTCCTATATTAATAAATTTATTTGCATATATTTATATCAGAATTAATGAGTTTTCTCTCTCTATGAATGCAAAAACTGCACTGAAAGGGAAAAAGAGAATCAAGAATTGCTTTATGCTTTTAGATTGCAAGACAACAAACTCTTATGACTTTTCTACAGCTAGACACAGTATGTCTCTGTTTTATTTCCTTTCAGTAGAGGCCTTACTGCCATCAGAAATACTGGAAAAATATGCTTTTTAAAACTAGAGTCCAGCATGGTATATACAAAGCAACTAGGCACAGTTATCCCTAGAGAGATGGTAGAACTTCACACATTCATAAAACTAAGCATCACCTTGATGGTGCTTTAAACCCTAAGACCTCAAACTGTTTCTAAGAAGTGCTTATGAAGATGCAAAGACTTTTCCACATGCCCAGAGATGCTGAGAAGTTATTACCTGCAGATAGTGCTTAAATGACTGTTCAAGAGTCAGTGACACAATGAAGAGTAAGAACCCTATTTTCTGTAAGTACTTTTGGGAGGTAAACCTCAGGAAAGGTCAATCTGATACCTGAAATGCAACAATGGGATAAGAATAAAAGGGGATAAAAAGCTGAGCTGATCAAAAGCAAGTCTCACAATTGAGGGCATGGGGTCCTGGAATGCTTTTCTAACAAAGAGACTAAACACAGAAACCCTTAATTGCTCTTCTGTGGTGCTAAGACCAATTCCTGAAAGGAATTCCAGGAGGTACTTGACCAAGGTGAAGTGGAAGGTACCATCCAATACCTGTTTGATGAGCCAGTTTTTCATCCATTCCAATACAATATGCAAAACACCTACAAATTTTTCTCCAGAGTCAGATCTCAATACACTTAAAAAGTGAAGTAATAAAGTTTCTCCTGTACAATCCCCTTACTAAAGGCAATGCTTCCTCACTGCCTTCTTCTGTGGTCAGGTGCAAATCAACTGTTTGACTTGAGAAACAAGATGTTATGCCAACAGCGATTTTTCACAAGGGATGCACCCAAACTATTGCATTTCCTTGTCATGTATTCAGACTGTCCATTTGCAGTTATAAACATAGATTTCTAAGTTGCTGAGAAGTTTTCACAGCTCCCAAATACAGCACCCTTCCAAGGTCTTAAGTTTGGGTGTGCTCTTCTTGCAACTGACTTGCTCATACAGTTCTTGGGTCTGCTGTTTGCTTTACTGCATCTCACAGTTAGAAATTCCTAAGCCACTATAGGACCAGTCACCTGGGGGAAACAACAGCAGTGAGTTCAGCTGAACACGTGGCAACATAAAAGCAAAGGAATAAGAATTGAGAAAGTTTAACAGTTTTAGTGGATCCACATCCAGACAAAATTTTGAATACTTCAGATCTCAGCAGCCTTTGAAGATAACTATCCTCACAAAATTGTTGGTTACCTGCTAATCACACATAAACACAGTCACAAAGCATTTCCTCAGACTGCGAACTCGTTATGCATGAAAAGTGTGCCAGTGAGATACAGCAGCCTTTGTTGTTTACAACAAGAAATAACTGCTCCACAGTCATTCATGACTGCAGCTAACATATGGCTCACAGAGTGTGATGGTAACCATTGCCTCAGGTGGTTCACTAACCCATCAGCTACTGCTGGTAACAGCCGATATCATAGGGCTTATTACTTAATTAGCACAGCACTTTATTTGTATTAGTTCATTAAAAAAAAAAAAAAGACAATATAAAAAAAGACAAGAAAAAAAAAAAGACCAGCATAATAGCAAAGCACTTGGAAAGCTGCAGGAGACACAGCCATCCCTCACTATTGATACAGCAGTCTCTGAGTGTGAATTGTTATGGCTTAGCTATCTCCCTCATATTGCTCCACAAGGATAGGTAGATTTCAGCAAGGCACTCCTTAAAAAATAAACTTTTGAGGGTCTGTCCTCCTGGTAGACCCTGCTATAACACAACACATACTACAGAAATGAGGGTAACAACTCTCTGCTATGGCCCAGGTGAATTTGCTTGTGTATCACCAACTGCCTGCTGAAAGGGGCAATCAGGAAATTTGGTACCCCTGTATGCTGAGCAGATGGGAAAGGTAAGCACAATGTTCAATTTCCATGCAATTCAATTCCACGGTGAGAACCAGCTTGGCACTGCAAAACAGTGCCAAGTTCAGAACAAGATTAAACAAAATATTCCTTCTGGTGCACTGGATGTAGTCTAACCCCAGTTCTTCCTCAGTAAGTTGATCCCTTGATCCCTATAATTTCTCACTTACCAGAACCTGTGTGACCTCATCAGGCCCAGAAATGCATTTTATGCCACCACAGTGCTCCAAGTACTTGCCTGTAGCCACATTATGGGCACTTGGGCTTAGACTACCTACCATCAGAGTCTGATCTGCCCTAAAGTCAGAAGCTTATGTTCAGACAGGCAATAAAACATTGTCTAGGTGTTTACATGCCTCAGCTCTCACAAGACTAAATAATCCTTCTCTCTCACAAAAGTCATGCTCCCATTAAGGTGTTTTCACTGAATTCAACACACATGGCATAGAGCCTTCAGTAAGCTCAGAGTCCACATAGAGAGTGCAGAAAGTGGCAAAGGAATTAATCCCGCTTCACTGTAATGCGTTACGTGGTTCATACCAAGCTGTGGGAGGGAAGTTATCTTGCCCCCTTACCTGCAGAGAACAGAAGGTCTGGGTAAATGGCTCCATTCGGACCAGGTAAGATGCCACTATAATTGCTGATGAATAGTGAGTACAGTAATGGCACTGGACAGCTAGGTCTCCTGGAAATTGCACAAAAATCAGATTCCAGTGCAAAATACCACCATTTCAAGCCCATAGCATCCAATTACCACAGCACGACTAAATAGGGAAGAGGTCTTTTAAGCAGATGCGTTCAAAGGTCTATCAGCAAAAGCACACCTTGCATTTGCAATGAATGTGCACAGTAACTACTGAGGTATGTTCATTTTTTGCCTCCCCACATTTCATTTTCTGGAAAACAAGGCCTTTAACATTCAACATCATTCCTTTCCCCAATAGTACCACAAAAGTTCTTGATCTCCAGAGGTCAATAGCCTCACCATTCTGTTTCCTTTTCTTAAAGTAGCTCTTAGTTAAGCTGCACGCAGCAGTCTTCCAACGTGCAGCTTAGATAACAAACAAGACTAATGCGTGCAGCTTAGCTAACAACGCAGTCTTTTCCAGGGAACATGGCTTTTTGCTGTAGCATCTCTTCCTGCCCAAGGGAAGAGAACAGAATGCAGCAGTACAAGGCACATAAGGCAGTACTTGCAGGAGTCATTTCTCTTTGTATTCTCAACCAGTTTGTACATAGAAGTGTGAGAGGTTCTCCTTGGCATGATGTTTCTCTGAGCCACAGTTCTTCAAAGTCTTTGGGTGTCCTGAGGGGAACTCAAGCCTCTGCTGTCTGTTAGTCTCCTAAAACACTCACCCTCACTCTTTTCCACTTCATTGAAGCGCTGGATGAACTTGCGTTTCCTCTCCACAGTCTGAGCTCCCATGGGCTTTGATAGGTCTCGAAATGTATGAGGATTAGAAAGGTTTAGAGTCTGAAAAGTAAAACCAGAAGATATGTAGATTTTTAGATCCCTGAGTCTTAGAAGTCACGACTGTCTCAATGATGCTGGATAGCCACCACACTGTGTTGGAAGTTTCACCCATACAAGAAGGTCACAGGTTTATCCACCTCTAGAACTTCACAAAAAAAGGACCTGGCAGGTTCCAAACTACTCACAAGGCTTTTCTGTCTGAACCTCCTTCTTGGGGGTCACACAAACATGTCCACGCCTATCTGCTGAGCTGATGCAGCCTGCTCTTAACTAGGTATGTATTTAACAAATGTTCATCCACCTTTGTGAGACAGAATGTCAGACTCAGCATGCTGACTTGAAAATAAGGGTAATCTATATAGTTCAATCAGTACAGTTCAAATAACTGTCTCAAATTTTAATCCCTTGGTCTAGACCCCTCTTCTTCAATGGAATCTTTAAACAAACCTTTGTGCAGTTGCTATCATAGAAAGTACAGAATGCTGTGGCAAGCACTGACCTCAGAGTGATAGTCAGCGAGGACCCATGGAAACACAGGATACTGCATGTAATCATTGTAGCTGCGGCCAGCCAATGTGTTCAGGTACATGAGGTAATCAAAGTTGCTAATCTCCCTTTTCTGCCGGGGAAAGGAAACAAGCATTAAAATCTTCAGACTCTACCTGTGAAAACCATGCATCAAAATCACCCTCAGAGCCCTGTGGTTCCCAGGTCCACCAGGACAAGAGTCATAAATAGTGTAATCAATCATGCTTTGCCATTCAGATCAGCACAATATCTCTTACACAGCAATCAATTCAAGAGAACCTATCTCATTGTGTCTCTTCTTCAGACAGGCCATTTGCATTTGTCTATAATCACACAGTGCTTTTATGCTCTATTTGCATAACAGAGCACTTTTCCCCCAATTTAAAAGTGAGCCAAATGCATGCAGTCTGGATATTGGAAAACCCTGGACAACTGCCTGTACAGAAAAGGCTGCACAAAGTCTTACATATAAACAAGAAGGTATGGATTTCTTCACGTGTCTTGGGTCACCAAGATCAGGGCTACAGGAAAGTAAACACATCTCCCAGCTCAGCAAACATATGGGAAAATGAGAGGTGCATTGATTTAGATGTACAGATGGTCTGTGAACAGACATTCAACTAGGTGGCTCTCTTTGGTCTCAGTTTCAAAATGTGCATAAAATCACACTTAATCTGCCAGAGAGTAGCACCGTATGTTTCACAGCAGGAGGATCAAAATCTCTGCAATAACCAGATGTAAATACTGTGCTCCTCTTGCCAACAACCTCACCTCCAGCAGTGAGTGAACAGCTTAGGCCTTGAGGTACATACATACACACACACACGCACACGCACACACATTTGTGTGCAGACACACAGAGAGGTGCTGAAATTCTTTGCTTAATCATGTGCAGCCAAGATTTAGCTTACCTGCCACTTCTGGAGCATTGTCTTTTCTCCTCCTGAGTGTTTCCTGTATGGAACAAACATTTGACTGAAACAGCCTGCTTCAGAACAGTAAGAGAAAGTCAACACATTAACATCTGTGCTCCCTGTGCCCCCTGCTCTCATCCTACAAAAACGGGAGAACACCAACACTAGAAGAATGTTGAGGTTTCATCATTGACCAAATGATTCCAAAATCAGTGTCATTGATTAGGTTAGCACAATACAAATTTCCATTACTGCTTTCATTTGGAAGGAAGGCTCTGCCTGATGAGCAGGGATCAGCTTTAGGTGGCTGATGAACTTATCACTGTACCTTTGACACATGTCACTCTACCTTTGACATGCTGACTGTACCTAAGCTACTTGCCAGTTGGTTTCTGAATGAAGTGCCACTTACAGTATGATATTTAGTTAAAAAAAAAAAAAAAGAAGAAGAAATTAGGATTGTGGGGCTAAGGATGGATTCTGTTTGCCTTATGATATTGCTGCAAAGTCCAGTAGTGATGCCACATGGTAAGTTACAAGAATTCAGAAGATGAGTCACAGGCAGAGAAGATGCTCCTGCAGCAGAGGTAGATGGACAGCTCTGAACAGCAACCTCCTCAGCTGTTCTGAGTTAAGCCACAGGGCTAATCAGTCTGTCCTGCCAGTCTCATGCCATTGTAGAGCTAGAGTGCTAATGACAGGTACCATTAAGGCTGTCTGTTTCTATTCTGAAGCGTTAGTTTCAAAAGTTCATGCTTTTCTGAAGTGTTCAGAAAATACAGGCTTGAAAACAGAAGTCCCTCAGTCTCCATATCAAAGACATTCTTTTTTCACAAAGCACTTTGAAACTAATGTAGTTCTTAAAAATTGGATTGTCATTTTAATATTTTTTACAGTAATAAGACTAAATATGTATTTTCCACCTTTTTGTTCTCAAAATGCAACTTTTTATGAAAACTCTAAATAAAAAAACCCAGATCAACTGAAGGCAGATTCTAAACAGGGAATTCACTTGAAAGTAAGGAAGAGTCAAAGGTTCTGAGGAAACAAAAGTCACATTCCAACTGCACTGAATCAGAAGGTGTGTCAGTATCTGAAGGCCGTGGATTTGCTCTTGTCAGTTCCCAGAGACCAAACCAAGACAAGTGACAGCTTTTCGATTATCGTGGTTTAACCCCAGCTGGCGAATAAGTCCCACACAGCCACTTACTCTCCCCACATAGGAACAGGGGAAATCATAAAAGTGAGAAAACTTATGGGTTAAGGCAGTTTAACAGATAAAGCAAAAGCTGTGCATGCAAGCAAAGCAAAATGAGGAATTAATTCAGTACTTCCCATGAGCAGGCATTGAGCCATCTCCACGGAAGCAGGGCCCCATCACATATAACAATGCTTTACAAAGACAAACGCCATCACTCCAAATCACTTGGAATGTCTCTGCCTCCTTCTTCTTCCCTCAGCTTTATATGCTGAGTATGACATAGCATGGTATGGAATATCCCTTTGGCCATTTGGGATCAGCTGTCCTGGCTGTGTTCCCTCACAACTTCTTGTGTGTCCCAAACCTCCTCACTGGTGGGACAGTACGAGGAATAGAGCAGGCCTTGACTCTGTGTAAGTGCTGCTCAGCAATAACTAAAACATCCCTGAATTAGCAACACTGTTTCCAGCACAAATTCAAATGCAATTTTCTTCTATTATGAAGAAAATTACTCCAGCCCAAACCAGTACATGGATTAAAGACACTTTTAATCTTCCAAAGTAAACGGGATTACTGACATGACATGATACTGGTGGCAAGAGAGGCTTTTTCCTTTGAGTGTAATAGTTTAAACAAATTCTAAGGTGCCAGCTCAGAGTCAAGACTATTAAATTCATGAATTGTAAGGAAATAAGTTCAGTCATAGATTTTAAATCTGCTACAGGAATAACTAGCTGCTATTTCACACTCTTGTGCTCTGTATTGGACACATTAGAAATCCACAAAGGAAGGCTTAAAGTACCTTCAAAGATCTAAATAAAACATTGGAAAAGTCTATGATCATTACACTTTTATTGGATTTGCAGTAGTAAATTCTTGAAAACCACCTCTCATGCTTATGAATCATTATTTTACTGCCTATTCAATCCTGGACCAGTTAATAGTGTACATAAAGAAAAAACACTACGGTTTTCTCAACACATTATTTTATTCCTTGCTTAGGCACTCTCTTCAGAGAAAAGTGTGTATCTGAGAGAAGGATTTTGCATGAACAAACATGAAACCCAGGACAAATTCTAGCACATGGTTTATAATTCCTAAGCTTTGTTTAGTTCTCCTAAGCAGATGAAACTAACAATGACAGGCTATAGTTTCATGGAAAACAGGCAACACAGAAAGGTGTAGAGGTCCAATACAGAAAAATAAGATCTTCAGTCTTTGTCCAAATAAAATTAATAGATTATATAATGGTCTAATTTACACAATGTAAATCAGAAGAAGTTCCATTGACTAGGGTAGAGTTATGGTGGTTTTGCACCTCTAGTTTGAGCAACACGTGGCTCAAGAATGGGGGAATTCCAAAACACAAAACAGTTATTGAGCACTTATCCTTTAAAATTCAGCCCTCTCACACTATATGTGGATTTCACAGAGCTTTGTCCCAGTGGCCTTTGTAAGGCCTCCAAGAGACATTTGGAACTCATAGAGAGTATCTCAAAGGGATGGAACAGGATCAGGATTCCTGGGATTATTTGGAATGTGGTTGGATTAGGGTGTTTGTTGCAGAAAGATCAAGTTAAGTTCTTCCCTTTCCACGGGGGTAGACTCACTAAAACTGCCCATGTTTATTTTAGATTTTTGGCTGAGTTAGAAATCAGGGGAGAACATTACAAAATGTTATACACAGGACTAAACTGTGCCAGTCTGTGTGTATGTTATGCAAATATACATATGTTAACTTATGGGTGCCATGACCCTCTAGTGAAACACTTGCTCTGCTTGTCACAAGCCCTAAAGAGCTAATAAGGACTCTACAAGGGTCAAAATAATCCTCTGTGCTGACTTTGGAAGCCACTACATAACTCAAAGAGGTTGACAAGTTCATCACATCATGAAAATAAGCAAGGCTAAATGTAGTCACTCCCCTGTAAAAGCCATCCTTCTGAGTCTCAGAGGACCTGGTAGGATGCTCCCTCCAAGTCTCCAGAGATCTGGAATTTTGCATTCTGCTTTGTTGACTCAGGAGCTCAGAACATGAACTGCATTACAGGCAGCTCAAGCCTATTTCTGCCTTCTCCTTGATAATCAATTAGCATTTCTTCAGCCAACACCTCTCTAGACAGCACAGCAAAAGCTCAGTGTAGATCAACGTCAGCTATCCAACCTCAGTAAGTGCATTTAAAAGTAAATAAATAAATAAATATTCAAAGGTTGGTTTGTAAAAGAAACAAGAGAATTGCTTTGTAAGTTTAAATAACTAAACTTCCAGAGAGGGGTGTAATTATATGAAGTCAAGAGAAGTACCTAGATATCTATCTATATCTTAATTTATAAGGCATTTGTAGGGCACCAGACATGGCAGAATCTAAGCACGATGTGTACTAATGATGATCCACCTTTGGCTATACTATACATGAGTGATTTATTAATCCCTCTTCCATTAACATCAGACTATGATCTCACTCTTGTGATAGCCAGTGCTCTCCATTTGCTAGAGACAGGTGGACCTCAACCCATTTGGAGATTCATTGCAGATGAGATAATCTCAAAGGATAAGATTTTGCCCCCACTGAAATTAATACTAAAATTCCGATAAACTTAATAGGTTCTTAGACTTCACAAAGCTGCTTCCATTTTCTTTTTTTCTTCCATCCCCCAGACTTCTTACAGTCTGGAAAACAGTGCAAAGGCTCTCCTAAAACCACTTTTCTTAAGGAGTCTTTGCAATTACCAAAAACATTGTAAGGAAAATTCCCTTCCTGTTAAGCCACAACTTAGGGCCAAGTCCTACTATTAAAAAAAGAATAGAAGACTTCAAAAGGAATATCAGTCTTCCCTGTGAAACAATCAAGTCTCTCTCAAACTCCGACCTAAGTGTTAGGTTAGATCACTTTAGAATAAAGGTACAGTGTCCTTCTTCTTTGACTGTAGCAGTCCACCTTCTGGGTATTCTTAACCTGTGCTCAAAGAATTGAGATATAACACAAAACTTATAAATAAATGTCATATTCAAGTAGGGCTCCTTGAAGAGTCTATGAAAGGAGAAAGGAATCTCCCTCATTTACAGAACTCTGCACCACGTGCGTTCACAGTGCCTAAACCAAGGGGAGAACATTTCCAGTGTGGAAATGCTGTGGTCAAGTACACTTCGGGTCGTGAAGAAACACATCCAGTAAATTCTGTTTATTTGTGAGGTAAGCAGAATCTCCAACCCTGGAATCAGACAAGCACGTCAACATTACAAGCTTCTTTATACCAATAATATCCCGGACCAATTATCAGCAAGAGAGAGGCCTCAATATTGCATATCCTGCAAATAATACATAAATAAACCACTCAGCTACTTCTTTTTTTCCAGATACTATTTTGAAATTACTGCAACTAGTTGATAAAAACTTCAACTCGGTCATATAGACAAATTTTAATAAATTCACATGCTTCAGAGGGAAATTGTACCAACTGCACCATTGAAGGGTCGCAGATAAATGAATATAAATTGCAGCTGATATCCTCTCTGCCGTACCACTGAATGAGCCTTCTGTCCTTTGTCCACATCTATCCAATTTGGCATGTGCTAAGGATGGCATCACAAGCGCTGTGAGTTTTAACACACACATACAAGTATCTATCACCGTGTTACAGCCAAGTAAAATGAAATAGCCAAAAGACTAAAACTGACAGTTAAGGAACGTTAGAAGCTGACTAACAGTTTCTAATGAGCTCCAGATGCTTTTTCTTTCTGCATAATTTGAAATCTAACATTTCCAGGCACTGCATGCTATTCAGTTCTTCCCCCTCCAGCTCGAACTTCCATTCTGGAACCAACCATTATGCTGATGATCTCCAAGGGTGTAACACTCCTGTTGCTTAGTAACAAAAGTTTCACGGGCTGCGGAAGGAGCACTGAACAGCAAGACCCTGCAGTGAGAGAAGTCCTTTTGCCACTCCTATTCCCTCCACACACACAAGTTTCTTGAAGAGCTGCCATTTTCTGTCAAGAAAGTGCAATTCAGAATTCGCAGGACTGTGGAAAGGAAACTGTCCTGTGTTTCCTGCTCACGGGTTTATTTACAGACTTAAAGACTAATTCATAACTCAAAGAAGAGAAGACAGAGGACAACTACACAGTAACAGACTATGAAGGCTCAGCCCACACAACTGAGAAAAAACAAGCAGCTTGTGACATCTGTACCTTGCCTTCTAGGCCTTTCTAGCGACTAGCTGGTAAGATCTTATGCAGAGGGGCAGTCTCGCAGAATTGTTAAGATGAAACAATGTTTTTGTTTATCCTTGGTGGGTTTTGGTTTTGCAAGTGAGCTTGCAGTGTGTGATAGTATGGTGGCTCTGAAGTGGTCTATAAAAGTAGGAAAACTAAGGAAGGAAACCTCTCTTGAACTATTTGCTCATGGCAGGATTTAGTCTAAACCTGCCTGTTAGCGAAAGACTGTGTTTAAGATAGTCAGTGAATTAATCTCTCTTTCTAACAGATCGTATCCAACAACAAGAAATGATAACAGATTTGTAAGCAGGGAAATAACAATGCACCCAAAGTGTAACTGCTTGGCTTCATGCAAAATCATTTGCTGTACAAATGCTGGTTTTAAGCTTTATATAAAAGTATTTCCATAGAAGTATTCCATGGGTGAATCAGCATGTTACCACACTGCCTGCCTACCCCCAGAGAGGTGCAGGGCATGTCTAGCTCTGCTGGGCTTGGCAGGCCTGCTCTGCACTGTGCAGACTTCCAAGGGGAAAGTCAGAGGAAATATGCATTCTTCTAGGATTAGATCTCCTTCTTAGGACAGACCTAAGATACAGTGGGTCATGACTGACCCCTGTGCAAGTGCTTAAATGCAGATAAGGAGTAATCCTCTATCCTTCCTTGCCTCAGAGAGACACTGACAGTCTTGGTCCTGATGCTTAAGGTCTGTTCCATCCAGCTCCCAGTGACACTACCACAGACAGCATGATGCCCTTGACATACATTTTCTATTAATTTCTGTATTAGGTCAGCCTCATAGCTCTCGGCCTATGAAATGCTCCTAAAGCTCTGGGGTTACCTCTCAGCTTTCAAAACCCCAATCCAGACCAAAGATTTTTCCAAGTGTGGATAGAAGGGGAAAGGGTTTTCTTGTCAAAATCCTCTTTAGTGAGACCTTATAACAGTTCCTAAGGACTTAGGTCATCCTAATCAGTGCATCTTAGAGGTTCACAGTAGGATTTTAAAAAATCCAACTATAGGAGGCAGGGTGAAGAGAAACCTCTTAAAAATCTGAAAGGTCCAGGTTCAAACATTGTAACAGGTTGGAAGGGGTTATTGACAGAGAAATACCCAAACCCAAGAGGTTAAACTGTAGGGTTACTACTGCCAAGCCTCCCGCACTCAATCTTGTACGCCAGGCTCCCTCTAGTGCTGCCAGGCACGCACAGCGCAGAGGGACACCAGCGCTGGGAACCAGCATTACCAGAACAGCGGCAGAACTGGCTGATTTTTTACCTCGCTGGTTTTTTTTTAAAAATAAGAAAGGAAATTGGTTTGGCTCAATGTTCCCCTCTTGGATTTTAAATGAAAAATAATATAAAAAATTATTAGGAACTAAAGGAAATGTTTTATTTCCAAGAGTTTTAAAGATGTTTTAAAAAGCATTTAAAAGAAATTATAATTTTGAAATTAGGAAAAATACATATCTTTCTTTGAAACTCCCATTCAATGTATTAAAAGCATACAAATGCACTGAATGTTCTGATCAACTCATCCAACACAAAATTCTAAAAAAGAAAAAGTTGGACCTAAAAGTCACCTGGTTCACACCAATTAACAGGAAGCAGAAAGTCTCCCTCCATCAAGCCAACACATAAGGAAGCTGCCCTACAGATCTTTTTCTGAAGCATGGTAGTCACCCTCTGTGCACCAGAAAGGACTCAGGGTGTCCTGTACCAGCACCAGGCTCCGGCATCTCCTACACAGCTGAATTTTATCTTCACAGAATTGACAACAAGAATATTGCATAAAATCCTTAAAAATGAGTGAGCTGTGACTAGAAAACCCTGCTATTTTAATCTCCAGAACTTCCTACTCAGTCCTGGGCAAATTATTTAAGCTAACATCAACAAAGGTGGAAAGAGTACTTTACTTACACTGTAGAATACTTTGCTTCAGTTACCAGTCCACACTGCGGAAAGAATAGCACTGATATTGCCCTTTGGGCACTGCAGGATTAAATACAGCGAAGAGTAAGAGGCCTTCAGATATAATGGTAATATCGCCCTGTAAGTACTGGTGAGAGACAGAAACATGGGAGTGACACACAGAAAGATTTAACTGTGTTTAAATATTTTTATGTAAAATAACAAAGATTCTATTTTGGAGCATACCCTCAGGGCAAGACTGAATCCGGTGTGCTGCTTCCAGTACTTTCTGAAGCATCTGCCTCATTACTGAGCTCTTGGGAGTGTGGGTAGTAGCTGGGAGAGATTCCCCCTGCTTTTGCATTATTTTGGGCTGTGGCATGTAATTGAAAAGGAGCTGAAACGCCTTAGCTGTAGCCTGAGCTTCCCCTTCACGTATTCGCACATGATTAATGAGTAGCCAAAAAGCCTGAAGGGTTTGTAATGAAGCCTTTCTAATAGGGAAATGTATTGTAGACAAATCCATATTTTGTCCCAAACAATCATTCATCAAAGCTCCACAATTGAATGCCAGAGCACCCAAACCATCCTGAGGTTAGCCAGCTGTAACCCATGCTCCTCTCTGAACTCTGGCTGAGAGGGACATTGTCATCCATTTCCAGGGAATCAGCATATTTCCTTTGTCACTAACTATAATTAGTAGCTGTATTTGATGATCTTCAATTAGAGAGAGTTCACCAAACCTGAGACTAAATGGACTGTTCTTACAGGCCTCAATTCAACAAAGCACGTAACACATGCTGAGCATCAGTATGAGTCAAAAGTCTGAGTAGAACACCTACATGCATTTTTCTGAGGGCAGGGCACCTTCGCAGTGGGAGACCATCTATCCTATAGCACAGATGAAAAGACAAGGTTGGAGTACTCAGAGGAGACACTTAGCAAGGCCTGGTTTAACATGTCATTAAGCAGCACTTGACACCAATCCCTGTTGCAGTCTGCCCTGCAGGTGACGTATCAATTGTCAACAGTGCTGGCAAATCTGGGAGCACACTAGGTTAAAAAAAGACTCATAATAATTTCCTTTAAACACTTAATCTTTCAATAGCATCCAGAGCCCAAATCTTAGGTCCATTAAACAGGACCTTTAACCAACCTGTTAGCAGATGCCAGGCCTGTAAAGAAGGCAACTGTTTATTTGGTAGAATGAGACAATTTTGGACAGCTTCTTTTAATGCAGTCCCTAAGGACTGGATTGAGACCTATGTTACATTTTGCTTCAGTCCTCAAATGGCCGATGGATAATAACATATTTCATTTTGTTTCACATCATCCTCGGCTTAAATCAGTATTTAGGGATGAAAGACAGCAAATGTCTCCCACTTGTAATTTCACCCTGTAATGCAATATAGGTATTACATTACAATAAAATCATATTGTATATTATCAGAGTTTCACCTACTCAAAATACTTTCAGGAAGAACTTTCAGAGTTGCAACTTCAGGGTTGAAAAGTCTTGATCTCAAAAAAAAAAAAAGACTTCTGAAGAATCTAATGGTAACATTAATTTATAACTGTGTGATTAACAGCCATGGCTTTCAAAGGCTTTATTGGAGTTTCCACATTTTATCCACAGAGTCTGGTGTGTCTGTCTATCTCTTGGTGGAGACATGGCCAAGGGGAAAGCAAAAGGTCCACAAGGGAAAAGGATCACCTTGAAGATGGCCAAAAATTCAATCCGGGTAAGTTTTAGTGGAAGGCGCCGTCTTGACTTAAGCAAAATGGGCATCGCCACCTTCCCCAAATGCATTCTGGAACTGGCTGGTGATGTGGACGAACTTGATTTGAGCAGAAACATGTTGAGAAAGATTCCAAACACCATTGAGAAGTTCCAGAACCTGCTCTGGTTGGACCTGCATAGTAATCAGCTTGATGAGCTGCCCAAGGAAATAGGCTCACTTCAGAACCTTACTTTCCTGAATATATGCAACAACAAGTTGACCACGGAAAGTCTGCCAGAGGAGTTGAACCTTCTCAAGAACCTCAAGACTCTTAACCTTGGCTTGAACTGTCTTGAGACTGTTCCCACCACTCTTGGGGCCCTGAGGGAACTCGTTGATCTAGGTCTCTTTGACAACGTTTTGACCACCATACCAAAGAGTGTGAAAAATCTCCCCAAGATTGAGAGAATGAATGTAAAAAGAAACCCTTTACGAGAGTTAGAAAAGCCAGAGGAGGAGATTGACACCATTAAACGCATAGAAACACTTCACTTAGTAGAAGAGAAAGACCTATGCTCTTCCTGCCTGAAGAAGTGTAAGGGTGAGAAGGATGAGCTGCACAGGCTGGAGGACATGACACCTAGCTCCTCCAAGGAGCTAAGTTTCCCTTTACTCCTTACACCCAATTCCTCTGCAAAGGATAATCAAGAAGAATGGAGAGTAAGAAGCACAGATCCTTGAAATATACCAAGGCACTCCGCATATCATGTGCTATGAAGTCCAGTCCAAAAAAGAAAGAAAAAAAATAAAGCTGACCTCCCTCTTCCTCTGTTTTCCTGTTCTTCTTTAAAGCTCTGCTCTGTTTTAGAAGCTGATCTCTGTGGTCTCTAAACTGAAAACCAAAACAACTAAAACAGATGTATATTTGGGAAGGGCTATTTCGATCTGGGCCTGTTCCTACAACATGTTCTCCATGTTTGGGTGGTTTTGGGGTCTTTTGTTTGTGCACGTGTCCAGTGAAGGGATCTTTTAAAAGACAGGTTTTTCTAGTAAATCTATTCCCACCACTAAGCTCCAGACATTAGTTATGTTCATTTTTGTAGGGTGAGAAACAGTTACTCTAGTCTCAGTAAATACAGTTTGGAGGAAAATGCACAGACCTAGGAACCTTCTGCTGCTGGTGGCTGCCACCAAGCTCTCAGAGAGTCCCAGATAGGCACTGTCAGTGTCGGAACTGTGAGGCTGTTCCAATTCAGAGGCAGCAGCTACAAATGTTATGCTCAGGAATAACTAAGCAGTGCAAACACAATGCTTAAAGATAGACAACCCATGATCCTGTTTTGCCATCAAGGGGCCAGACTTTGCATAAGCAAGTTCTTTAGGATTTTGGGTGCTATACCTAGGTGCAGCAATCTCCAAGTTGCACAATACAGTCAGCACCACTGCCCATACTCATTGTGTTTTGTCTGCCTCTGAGTATCCCTCTAAGGAAGCTGCAGAAGGGAGAAGGGGTAGGGAAAAGGTTTCTTTCTGGGATCCCAGGCTTATCACTTAGGCCGTGACTAAAGTGATTAAGAAGAGTCATCATCTTCCATGATGCAAGAGTCAGTTTGTGAATTGATGAAGTCAGGTCTGGTGTTCCCACACTACTTTTAGCTTTCCATTCACACGTTCATATGCTTGTGTGCACCTGAGCACACACATTCACTTGCTCACATCACATCCCTGGGGCAGAGATTGCTGAGAGCAAACAGCAATATACAGGTACAAGCAATGAGCAGATTATAAAGGCAGTCAAGCATGACACGAGAAGAAGTGCTGGCAGTGACCGTAATAACCTGTGGTGACGGCAAACATTTAAGTATATTGAAATGAACGATAAAGTGCCAGGAGCACTTTATTTTTTAAATTACTGCAGTAGAGCCTGAGAGTTGGAACTCTTGTGTATTTCCTATGGACTAGGTGGAAAAAACTATATGGGGTTTCCCAGAAATGCTATTACCTCAATGTCATGTGATGTATCAAACTAGTAATTTCTTCTTTCCATGCTTCAACTGTGCAATTATTAATAGTGTGTCTGGACCAAGAGCCAAATCAGGCCTTCCTCCCTGTCTCAGGTAGGGCAGATAAAACTTGGATGCTGTGGAAGATGGCCATTGCACTCCTAGATGGGGACAGAGCCCTATATGCTGCTTTTGAAATTTTCTAACTCAGAAGCAGCTCCAAAATTCAAACAAGGGAAAAGTAAACTCATCAGGTCCTCAGTCCTTCAGTTCTGCCTGGAGCTTGGTAAAGTGAAGCACACCTCCTAAAGTTATTTTCACTAGCTTTCCACTTAAGCACAACTTTTCTGGGATCATTACTTACGCAGTGGTACTATCTTATGTTTGTTTCAGTTCATTCTCTAACATGGTCCAGCCAAAGCTCTGCCAAAGCTCTCCTACGTTCTTGGAGCGAGTAACAGGGTCTTCTCTCAGCTAATGGAGTAAAACTGAAGACAGAGCCTTAGGGGATTCAGGATAGGCTACTTTAGACCTAGATATGCAGCTTGCCTCAATCTCTGAGATTCAACATGAATCAAGTGATTCCCACAACAACCACAAGCCCAGTTAATGCCCAAATTTCCTAATGCTGTAGTGCATCTTATCTCAAGATATTCACACCAGTTGAGCACCCAGGAAGCACAGGGAAAGGAAGCCCTGGGGTGAGTTACTATGTACTCCACACAGAACAGACACCATGCTCCACACAGTCAACCATTCCCTCTGGGATAGGTTAGGCTCTAGCCAGAGCTGGCTGCAGACCGCATTGATACTTTTTGCCCATTGATGACTGGATGAAAATGCTCACTTATAAGATAGGTAATGATCTACAAAGGGTAGACTGAATTAAAGAACACAGCTGACACAGGCCACAACAGCTCACAGGAGCAATCTGCCCCTTAGGTCGCAACAGTATTTCAGCCTCAGGTGATCATTTCAGAGGACACCAATTAGGTACTTAGGGTTGTGTTCCTCAGATAGCCAAATTGAGAAAAATTACAGGTATGCAAGTAACTCATGGTCAGCATGAAACGTGCTCTCAATCACCTGCCACTAGGAGAAAACCTATTTTTTCCTGCAGTGGTAAATCTGAGGGACAAGTCTCAATCTCCACTGTACAGCTAATATAGCATACCAAAAGATCCATGTGTACATCTATCACTGTCTGCCCTAAGCACGCAATGAAGAGGTCATTATGCAGAAGCATTATGGATTAGCTCTAACCTCATCTCACTGACTGTCTCTTCCCACAGTAACCATCTGTGTAGAGTTTACCAATAAAGTAATATTAAGGAGATAATAATTATCAATCAACTGTGCATGATCACCTACTCAGCACTATCTTCATGTCTCCATAGTGTGGATGACATATGCTAGAATGCTTTTTGGAGCTCTAGCAACATCTTTGGATCTTTAAAATAGGGGACACAAATAGATAAGTTTCTGTATGCTTTGCTTTAAAATGCAACTTATTCAAACAATTGTACTTATCTACAGATATCCAGTGTTTCCTATGATTTACCTTATATTCAGGGACTCTTCTGTTATCCCCTTTGACTTCAAAGCAGGCTGGAAAGAGCAAAATCTATAGGAGATATATGAAAGGTCACATTATATTTATGTAAATGTTTATTAGGATACATTACATATGTATATAACTAATATCATGTCCTCAACAACAACTTTCTTCCTGAAGGATGCCACAGCATTTCACTGAGACTCTAACCTAGAATAAAGCTGTAAGACAACACAGCAAAAGTATACATCTAGTATTAAGGAGTTACCTGTGGGCTGGATAAAAGCAGTTTCTTTCCCAAACCGGACTTTGAATTTATATATAGGGCTATGGACTTATGATCAGGTGATTTAAGGGGCTATTAAAGCCAGAGAATAAGAACCCACTCAGACATTTATTTAGGAAAAATGGCAGAAAGGAATACCAACCCACATCTCAGCCATTCCTCTTTATATTTGCTGTGGGTTTTATGATGTCAGACAAACTGTACCCTTGGAATACATAGGTTTTGTGACCTTCGGCTGAAGATCAAAACCTCATGTTGAACTGCCTTTGAAAGATTCCCCCAAGAGATACTTGTCAGAGCTCAAAGACAGCAAAGATAAAGACTAAACAAAGCAGCTGGCCCTGTGATTCTAAGTAGTCACACTATGCAGCCAATTTGGAAAGGAAGATTAAATAAATTTGCATTGACTTTTTTATGCAATACTCCTATAGGAACTGTTCAGAGATTTCGGGAGCGAAAGGAATTGCTGTGATTGTTTAGAAATTAATGGTACCAATCCTCAGTTCAGGCTGAAGCATTTACCACAGGAGAAATACTGGTATTGAAGTGTTTCTCCTGTGTAAAGGCCAGTGAATGTAATCCTGATATGATGGTTAGAACTACAGTAGAAAAAAAACATGCAAGAAAATAAAGTGCAAATTAATCACTTCATAGTCTTACATTCAAGTTCCATTTAACAAGACAAGCATATAGGGAGAAATCTTTTTTAAATAAAAATGCCATTGATAAAAGTTAAGGCCACAGCAAAGATAAAGTCAGTGTTAGAGAGGCAAAAATATTTTATTCCTGAAGAATCTAATGACACTTTTTGTGTTGGAAAAAGCAGGAAGAAATCTTCTTTCGCCCAGTACTGTGAGGTGAGGTGGAGGTGGCTCTCATCTCAGTGGGAGGAAGGAGCACAGCTACAATTGCAGTTTCCTGGGATGCAGGGTCACACAACACACCACTGGGTGCTAGAAAAGTCCTACACACGCATTAGATCCCTTGATAAATCAGTGGCTGTTTAATGCTCCAACGAATTCACAGGTCAGCAAAAGGAAAATTTCATAGCTTAAGTGTAACCCATTAAAGCCCAAGGAGCTGAAATTGAAAATAAAGCTGCTGCGGCAACACAACACAGACACTTTAGGCCAGGATAAATAGGGGTGGTAGACCAGGAGCATCACTTGGGTATTCCCATGTTATTATGAGATAGTCATTACCTTTTAAATATCTTATTTCGGTCGCTGTCGTGGAAGACAAGAAATCTGGAGTAACCATTTTTGAAGAATATTTCCAAGGCAATCTCCTGGAAAGGAGATTTACAGTGTGAAGAGCTGCAGAGCAAAGCCTAGTGCTGTAAAAAGGTCCATTATGACCTGTCCAATTCTTCAGGGTTTTAAAAAAAGGGACCTTGACTTTGTACCAAGTGTGAAGAAGTAAAGCAAAATATGTCTACTCTTCTAAATTTCTCTAACTGTAGGAACGGTCCTACTGGGTGACTAGGAGTTCAAATGCTTCTTTGAAACAAAACGAAACTCCAGATATTGGTGCCATCACTCACCTTTTCCTGCTGCTTCTGAAATATTTTTATTTTGAAATCTTGGTGTGATTAATAAGACAACAGTTTTATTAATTTCCAATTAGGTGTTAAAGATAACACAAAGAGGGGATTCTAAGTAAGAGTTTCTTATAGAAAGCAACCACACTACTTTCTAAATTAATAGAGAGCTAAAGAGAACTGCCCAAATTTCTCCTGAAAAGAAGCAGCGAAGAAGGAAGGGGAATTTATGGCATTTCTCACTGAAGCTTTGAAGAATTAAAGTTGAAAGAAAACTTCACTCTCTTTTTCCCCTGCAATGTTTCCACACATTGCTATGTTGGACATTTGAATATAATCCTATTATTTACTCAGTGAGTGGTCCTTTCCCCCCCCATATCATTCAAGTAAAACTATAAATAACATGCAGTGTCTGCGAACCCAGACATGAGTTTCAATCCAAATGTGGCAGGTGCAACACAAACCTAGAGAAACACCACAGTGGCAACTGCCTCATACATGATTCACAAATAAAGTATAAAGTAGAAAGGTAATACGAGAGCAGCTATGACAATAAACAGCTTGCAGCATTTGCCCTGAAGCTCAGCTTTCCAAACCAAGTCTGCTCAAGTGTTACCATTACAGAATTAGGCCATGTGGTTTCACAGTGCTTTGCTCTGGGCTGGGCTGTGTGCATGAAAAGCAGGAGATCAGCTCTGAGGGACAGTAGCTGCCTAAACAGCTGATCACCTGTCCTGCAGGGAAAGCATAAGGAGTCAGGTTTCCTCTTTTTCCACAATATTTTTTCAAAGAAGTTTGTGACATAGAGTCCTAGTACAAGCCTGATACAGATACTTGAGTTTTCAGTTTATTGAAACAAATAAAAAACAAAGGCCCTGGTACAAAAAAACCCAAACCAAAACAAAACCAAAAAACAACCAAACAACAAAAAAACCCCTAAAAACAAACAAAAAACCACCACCAAACAAACAAAAAACTAAAAGCCAAAACCAAACCAAACAAACGAAACAAAAACAAAACAAAACAAAACAAACAAACAAAAAACCTACCACAAACCCCCTTGAACCAACGAGCCCAGCCTTTGCCACAGGCCCATTCAAAGACTGTTTCTACTCATCTCCACTTTTCATTTTGGGTCAAACCAAACATTTCTATGTTGCATGTTTTAATAAATTCATGCATACACAGATGTGAATATGTGAGTAGTCAGCAAGTTTCCACTGGCAACTTTGTGCTATTCACGAAAGAGAAGAGGTGATGGTTCTGTTGCTCAGGCTGATCACCAGTGATGTAAGAAAATAAGCTTCTCACAGTTACTCAGAACATGACTTAACATTCCTATACATCCTTGGCGAGTGACCTAACCACTGAAATATGCTATATCCTAAAGCAAGTCTCACCTACTAAAATTGTCCATTTTACATACATAATTAAATGAAATAAAACAGGGCTGACTCATGGATGAGTGCCATACTACGTGAATAAGGCAATTATCAGCTCCATTTTCTCTAGCTTCTGAATTTTCCAGATGATTTCTTAATTCTCTGCTGAATCTCAACCTTCCAAAAATGAATTAAAAATAACAAGCAACTAGTTATGGCTGCTTCAAAACTCCATATTTTTGACAAATCTGTGAATTACTCTTTAGACTATACCAAAACCCTCTAAAGAAGTACAGGCTCTGGTGCTGCAAGAAGCTCTAGCTACAATTCTTCTGTGATTCTCATCACAGGTTCACCTAAACCAGACAAAACTAAAAGGATACCAGGCCACTGGTGATGAGTAGTTCCTGGGTATTGCACTAACAGCACAAAGGATTTGAATTCTCTGTTCTGGCTTATGTTTTTTTTTATTGAACCACATGCACAACTTGGAAGTTATTCCAAGAGGCCCAGGGTGAGTGTGTTACACATACCCATAATCCACTGATGTCATAACTACTGAAGTGTGTGGGAGATGAGTATTACTGAAAGTCATCCACTTACTGGGAGCTTCCATCAAAACACAGGAAATTGACTTCAAGTCTAATTTTCAAAAATATTGAGATAAAGTGTGAACAACACTGTTAGTCTAACAACTAATAAGCCAACCACTCCAGTGAGGGTGCTTAAACACTCTGGTGAATATAAAAAGGAGTTTGTATTACCAAAGGCTAATGGAAACAATGATGGGAGCAAAAGGATTTTGGGACTCAAGCAAAGAAGTCTCCACAGTCAGTGAAAATTGAGCTAGTAGTTTCCAGTCATTAGTGCTGTTGCAGCCTTCCCTCAAATGACTAAGCATGTCAGTTCCTACCTGCAGAAGAAACCGCATCAGATGAATCTCTTTTATATCATGATACGAATAACGGGAACACATCTGGTCTCCCACAGCATGATCTTTATGACATAAGTTGAAAATAAATGGATCACTGATGCTGGAAGAGAAAAAATATATATATAAAAAATCAAAAAAATTAATTTGAAACAAAACACACCTGAGGAGCCCTCACGAACATCCAGATCCTCCCTAAAGGAAAATACAAATATAAAGAGATAGCAAGATCAACTGGGGCATACATGAACTGAAAACAAAGCTAAATACTAAAGGTTCTCCAATTAAAGAGCCTGTGGAGGCTAAGGGCAGGTTTGGAGTTATTTTAGTGCATGCAAATAGGCAATGTTTTGCACACACTGAAGTATAAGAATCAGGGAGGGAAGGAGCTCGGTGGGAGAACTTGAAAGCCTGGGTCGAGGGCAAGTGTTATATGGACACACAGCTACTGTAAACAGCAATTACTTGGAACTAATAATCAAGCAATTAATTCATTATTATTTTAGTTGTGTATATGTATTCGAATTGCTATCTACAGCCTAGCTCACAGAAAATCCCATAGAAAAGCAACCTAAGCTTTTATCAGACCCAGTCTACTCAATCCTTAAGTCACTTGATCAGATTGACTGATATTGGACTTACTAAGATTTGGATGCAGAGCAGACAGTCAAGGAGTAAAATCACTGCGTTACCCTCTGTCCCACTGGGCTTTGCACATGAGCACAAAGTATGCACAAAGAGCTTAGTCTAACAGAGTCATTTTCAGTATTGATCGCTTTCAATAAATCATGAGCCAAAGAGTGTGCCAAATATTAATTACGATTCTCTCTTGGAGAAACAAACAAAAAACTTATGAGACAGTGAAGTTAAAGTCCGTTGTACTGACTGTTCCATATGAATAAAAGATGTGAGCCACTCAGAAAGAAACATTAACAACACTTAAAATAACTGAAAACCAGCAATGTATGTGTGAGACTGTCCGCCATCTCCATCTGTTGAAGATGGGAGTTCTCATTGCACCTCCAAAGCCTGTGCACAAGCATCTACATTAGTTATGTTAAACAATTCTTTGAACAAATAGAAAGGAGGGCAAATTTCTTGCTGTGCTACTATACTCGTTGAAATCCCCTCAAAGTCTGTGCAAATTCAAGGTATCCATGTGCCAATACTGAAGTTAACCAAGCAGATCTCTGGAAGGAAAGGATGACTCACCTGGACAAGCAGTGACGAGTACAGTAGACTTCTTCTAGAGGGGACAACACAAAGCACTCGCAGATGTAGAAGTGCTCTTTGCCAAAGAGCAACACTCCTTCCAATGCTGTATGGCCCTGCACAACTGCCACAGAGCACTTGAATGTGACCTAGTATGGATGCAAGCAGAATGAAGCCAGGAGTTGGTAACACAGGAGACAGAGACAGCAGGGAGCTAGACCCAATGATGCAGAAGAACATATGTTTGTACCAAAAGAGCTGCCATATTGTTTGGCAGGTCCATAGGGACGAGGCCACAAAATCACCACACGACTGGCGGTGCCTGCTTCTGTGGTACTAGTAGTGGGAAGGTCTGATGCACTTTTCCACAGTTTCCTGTTCCTTACCCATCTCTCTGTAGTTATAGTTAGCAACATCACTACAGAACATGAAGAACTCGCAAACATTGCAGGAGTTAGCACTGCAAAACTTTGTTAGAGAGCATTACTACTCAGGCAGGGTGTTGAAGTACTGAGGAAAGAAGTGACTAACACAGCATCATACAGAATAACAGTGACATATGATAAGTATATATGTATTTCGAATAGAGAGAAAAGGCAAACATTTTCATTTAGATCCCAGTGAAAAAATCCTGCAAACGTGCAGGGAGAATGAGCAAGGAAACAATCTAGTTCTCTGGGTATCTATCTCACCAAGGCCAGCTGAATAAGCATAGATTGAAATCCTCAGTAACACAAAACTCCTTGAATTGGCACTTTTCCTTCTTGTATTATACAGAAGGCCAATCAAAATATATGAATCTATCGTTTTAGTTGTCTTAAAGATTTAGATAAACATTCTGGAATACTTTAAAAAATCTCCCTTTGCATCTCACTTTCTTGCATTTACTCCTGAGTAAATTAACTTGGCCCTTAAAATAGAGGAATTTCTAAAACACAATTTAGAAGCATTAGGAATTTTTCAACCAAGTAGTTCTTCTGTCATGTATGCCAGTTCATGGAATTGACTGATTTTCATAAAGAAAAGAAAGTCTTTTTTCTGGAACAGTTTCTATGGCTGAGAGATGGTGCAAAAAATAAACAGAACAATACAGGGACCAGAAAAATCCAACCATCCGGAAAATTGTGTGGGCTGTAGGAAATTTAAAAGTTGTGACTTTAAATCAAGCAGTAATTAATTCCAAAGAATTTCCCTTACATTTAGAGGCATGAAGTTCCTTATTTTTCTTGTCTGTTGATACAATATTCTACATATACTCAGCTCCAAAAGCACAGTCCACTGGTTATCACAGTCAACTGTGAGGATCAAGGTCAACTCACTGTTGTGGCCAGTTTCAACCAGAACTGTCAACCAGTGTCTCCTACATTCACAGGGTAGGAGGCAGGAGCTAATCATCAGTCTGTTAGCCCAGTCTGAAGCACCTTCTATTTGCAAAAACCCCTTCAAACATTCATTCTACAACAAAACACTAATGCTTCCAAAATCTTAAAACACTAATACTACCTTCCATACTAAGAAAACTATTCACTGCTGAGCTCTCCCTGTAAATTAACACAATCCTGAACTGCATACAATCCAGAAATGAGTATAAAATTTTGCAAGCTGAGTCCATCTGAAAATGCAAGGACCAGAGGGCTGCATATGGAGGAGTCAGAGAGGAAGAAATTTCTTGGTTCAGAAATCTAGTGCAACGTTCTTAAGAGAACAGATTAACAAGTATGAGAAATATGACAAAGTCAGTTTTTCTCTTAAGATCTCAATGATCTTATCTCTACCAAACTTTGTAAGAAAAAGGGTGCTGCATTATTTTTTGTGCATGCCCAGAAATGGCATTGGTTTTACTAGACCATGTGAAGTCTACACGATGATATGTAGAGTAAGTATGGTTCTCCTTTGCTCTCTGCCTTTGTTCCTAACCTCACTATTTCTGCAAACAAATCTACAGCCTTCCTTGCCTCCATCCCAAAATGCACATAAGCTAGCTCAGGTCAGCTGAAATGGGCCTGCACTGATACATAAACTTTCAGTCTTTGATGCCAGAAAAACATAAATAGTAAATATATAAATAAATGAAATAAAACCTTGTTTCTACGTTTAAATATTTTTACTGCAAAGCAATTATTTTACCAACAAAATGGAGTGGTTCATTGTGAAATCACTTAGTGGGCACAGAAAATTGTTTTCTTCATTCTGGGTTTAAAAAAAACAGCCCTGGAAGATTTCTGTGGATAATTTTTGATGAAAATCCCTTCAATTTTTTTCCCCTATGAATAATTTTTAAGAGGAAGGTAGAATTTTTCCATCACCTCTCATGCAGATCCCACAGTAATGCCTGTTTCTGTGGGGATATGCCAACCACAGAACTCTCTGGGTTGGAGTGCCTGCCATTATGTGTTTAGAGACATATGCTTGCACTGAGAATACTGGGGAATTCTGCTCACATTAGCAAACCGCAGGGTTTTCTGAAGTAATTAAATAGCAGAAAGATCACTTCTTCCCAAAAGGAAGGTAACTGAATATTGAAACATCAGGCAGTTGTATAAAATAGCTACATGGACACAAAGTTGAAATCTTTGAAAGGCTTCTAAGAAATCCCCTTCATCAGACCCAGAGATCATGTGTGTGGTTTTAGGATCACTAATATGGTCTGGCAAAAATAATCACTTTGTTATTCCACCAAAGGCAGGACCAGGGTACATTAGCAGACCTTGAGAGAGGAGAGAGCATGAACCTCTCTTTCTCAAACCTTAAACTCTAAGCCCCAGTACATTCTGTCTCCTGTACTATCCAACCAGTAACAGTCATTTGTATCAATTCCATTTCTTCAATTTGACATTATTTCTTCAAATTTATATTATTATTAAATACATCTGTACTATTAGAAATACTTGAGCTGAGTAAATATTTTTCATTTTGGGGAACATGACTCATTTTATTGCAGGTGAGTAAGAAAGATCTGACAAAGAGTTCTACTAGAGAATCTCCATCAGAACAATCCTGTACCTACAAGTCTTCTACCTTCAGTCTTGCATTGAAACACCAAGCAGTTTGAAATTATCATAAATTAGGTAAAAACTTCCATTTTCTGTCAAAATGGATCACAATCCAGTCCACAAGCTACTAGAATCATTAATCAGTGAAGCAAACATGACATAAAATAATTGAATAATTACCTTCTAAGGTATTGCCCAAAGCCCTGCATCTCTTGATTGCTCTGTTCATTCAGATGTACAGGAGAATTAAAGCTAAAGGCATAGGTTTTTCTCTTATTTTTCAGAAGACCTGTTTCTAAGTGTTCTAGTTGCATTTAAGCCAACAGCCATAAAAGCATATTCTACTCTGGAGTTCAAGAGCCAGATTTCTAAAAGAATTACATGCCTGAAGATGCAAACAGTCTTGATACAGTTTCCAAAAACACAATAGGGGTTAACCATCTATTCCTACAGGCTCTACCAGTGTTAGCATGGTCCCTCCCAGGAAAAATACAGGAATGCAAGGAAATTAAAGTCACAAAACCACGTCTCTGGAACACACCCATGCAATCTCTTGAGTATAGCATTTTTATTGAATAAGTACAAAAGAATGGCTACTCCAAGTCAGTTCAGAGGTCCACCTAAACAATTCTCCTGTATCTTCTAACAGAGCCTTATGGAAAGAGTATAAGAAATGTGCTTGGCATGGGCTGATTCTTGATCTTCATATGCCTTCTAAGCAATCAGTGGCTTAGGGATTTACTGAATCCCCTTCCTCCTGCTCATTGCCATCTCTCATGTTTACCTATAAACACTCACAGCTTGCTCTAATCACTTGCTCAGCAAAAGCTACAAAAACTTTGCATGATACACATAAAAACAATGCATTCAGGTAGCACTGTATCAGGAATCACAGAGATGAAACCTGTGCTTATGTACTCTTTCTGCCCTTTCTATTTTTTATAAAGAGGAATCACAGGGTGCATCAGCTACAAAGGTCCTATCAGTAAAGTAGGGTAAATGTTATTTAGGGCCACAGAGTTTAAAATTACTAAGAGTACATGAAATCAAATACGTTGCTTTCACACTTTTTGCTAGGGAAACAGATATGTGTTGCCATGGTAAGAGAGAGCAATACAGGTCCACCTCTCTGTGCCACTGACAAGACCTTTCCTGCAATGATTGTTAGGTTGCTTGTTGCTGAAGTCTCATCTTACTTTGAAACCGTCACACACGCGCCTCATTAATCACAGCTTAAGAATACATGACAGGTTGCTTCATTCCCTCCAGCTGCTCAGTAGAGCAGTTTCCAAAAGAAACTAAATCAGCTTGGCCTAGTCTTTAGTGGTAGGGGCTGTAGGCTTGTGTTTGGTCACATCAGAACTGTTACAAACAGTGGATCCAACTTCTTCTGCTCAGACTTCAGTGAAACCACTGCTATCTCTAGAAAGCAAGCCTTGTGGTCACACCTTTGCTTTAGAAGATCCAGGGCACGTTCCTTTTTTGGTGTAATCACCACTCACCCTCCCTCCCTCACTCCACTGCAGCAAAAACCACTTCTTTTGTATGCACTTCTCAGGTTTTAACAACTTCCCAAATGCTGCAAGGAAAGAATATCACACATTTGGGGAAAAGGGAGGGTGGCAGAAGAAAGTTCTGTTCTTGTAGATGGTTGTGGGCACTGGGACTGCTCTTTGTCCTTGCTTTCTGTGATGAAAGCTGCCATCTGTCCCAACCCATCACCAGTCTAAAAAGCTGGCATCTCTTGGCTGATGATAGCATCTGGAAGACAGTTCTGATAGGATTGTGCTCATACCTCTTGTACACCCAGACATCTCTGTCTCACTCCAGGCTCCTCTCAAACAGAAAATGCTGCCAAAAACTAACATGAGCCCTTAAATTTCCCCATAGGGTTGGTTCATTCAAGTTCATGCCCTTCCCAGTGCTTCAAGAATAATCACAGCAAAGTCTGCCTGCTCCTTGACTTGATGCATCATTCTATGGAAAAAAGCTGTTAGGGAATCAGCTCTGTCTGCTGGAGGGCCCTGGTGCTTGTCAGGTGCTCTGCAGAGATCCAGAGAGCAGCTACAGCCTTAAAATTGAAAGATGTTTTTCATCAAGGTGAACATTAAAAAAAAAAACAAACAAACCCAGAAGCAGATATAAAGGTAGAATGCTAGGAACACCAAGTAGTATTGTGAAGGGGCACATCCAGAAGATCAGAGATCTGGTTAAAGATATTCTGATGGGGGGTTTTGTGACATTCACGGCATGAGTCACACCCTGTCTTTTGCATGTAGCTGTAAAGTTGTTCACTGAGCTGAGGTAGGGCTGGAGGAGCATGGGCTGGGGAAGGAGCTCCCAGCAGCCTCTCCACTGCTGCAGAAACCCAGGTAGAGCAAGTCAGACAAGTAATGATCAGCAACACTTAGTCCTTCTTCAGACACTCCCATCTGAACACAGAGCTTCACACTGAAAATGCTTATTACTGCTTAGCACCCCTTCCTGCAGTGGGGTAGCCATTACTATCTCTGGGCCTGCAGCAGCAAAGGAAGAGAAGAAGGTGAGGCACAGAAAATGGAAATGCCAAGAACTTGGCCACCCAATCCTCTCCTTTGACCACAGTAGCTGCTCCCTGTTCACACTGCACATCAGCACACTAAGGTTCTTTACTGCCGCATCCGCACAGTGGGATGAAGTGTAACAGTGTTCCCATGAAAACGGGCCCTTCTTAATGTTTTGTTTCACTTTCTACAGTTTCCTGAGGAGGCGAACTGGAGAGGGAGGTGCTGCTCTCTTCTCTTTTGTACCCAGCGATGGGATGCATGGGAATGGTTCAAAGCTGCACCAGGGTAGGTTTAGGCTGCACATGAGGAAGCATTTCTTTATGAAGAGGGTGGTCGAACACTGGAACAGGATTCCTTGAGGTGGTTTCTGCCCCAACCCCATCAATGTTTTGGTGTTTCGACGACACCCCTATAACATGCTTTAGCTTTTGGTCATTCCTGCAGTGGTCAAGCAGATGGACTTGATGATCATTGTAGGTCCCTTTCAACTGAAATATTCTATTCACAGCTGTCAGGTATGTACAATCCCCCTAAAAACACTGGCTCCACCAAGTGGATGCAGAGCTGCTGCACCATTCTGCCAGTCCTAGATGCTGCACTTTACAGCTGTTCCCTCTTTCCATTGAGTCTGTTCTTTAATCAACACCTCTCTCCACACCACGGATCCCAATCCCTCTGATTTAGGCTAGTCCCTTCTATCACTGTTCTTGTTATCCCCTGTGCTCTCTCCAGCCCCTCCTCAAAGCAAAGGCATTCTGCCCAGATTTCTGCCAGGCTGTGCCCGCTTGTTAACTTCAGATTCATTTCCTCAGCTGCTTGGATTTCTTACGGTCTCAAATGACTTCCATGCACACAAACATTTACCTTTCTCCAAAATTCAGAATTTCTACACTAAAACCATTCCCTGAGCTTTCCAACACTTTCTTCACTTATTACACAGTAAACACACATTACCAATTTCGCAGGACTACCTTAGGATCGTAAAGATAAGGGAGGCAATCTTACAGTTGGTGCTCAGATTGCAGATACAGGAATCCAATCTCCTTGTCTCTGCTGGTAAGGTAGGGTCATTTTAAAGGTTGGTGCTCTGCCTTTTGGTAAGCAAGTTGATAGATTAGGTCAGAATAGGTTCCTATTTGCATTTCTCTTGCAAAATTCTGCTGCACTACATGTTGTGTAACATCATCCACATCTCCTCCCGTGACTATGCCGCACATAGTCTCAGTATACCTGTACACGCTAAAACCTCAGTGGAGCCTCAGCAAAATGTATAATCAAGTAACCAGAGTGTGACAGTTCAGTAACTTCTGAGAGAACAACCCTGACAGCAACACCCTTAAATCTGCACCTACAGTCTGATATATTCACCTAGTGAATTACACACATTAACTTGAGTGCAGGAAAAAACCTCCACCTTGTGCTTTGGGCATGTATACATAGATACTGTAACTACAGCACCAGTTCCAAACATTCATCAGTGAAGTGACTCAATTTCCAGATTTGAGTTCAAAGTCACATTTGTCCCAAGCACTCCAAGAGCAGTTCTTTTGCCCAGCTTTCATAGGTGGTCCCTGCTGAGGCCATCTGTAAGGGTGATGAAGCAATAAAGTATCTCAGCTACCAGCCCACCATCCTCCTTTAATCTGAAAAACTGTCCTGACCCTCCATCCTGTCTGCATTTCTCTGTGGGTAGTTTATTGCATAAAAAAAAGCCAACAAAAAAGAGACATATCTAAAGGCTTAACTTTGCATAGTCTGGGTGCTGTTCAAACATAGAGAATTTGACTGCTCCCTCACATCTCCACTCTCAGGGACTAACCACTCAGCAGCTTCCTTTAGCCTGTACTTAAACTATATCAATTTGCTTTTTTTTTTATACTCACGTTCTCTTGCATTCCAAGTGGCAAACTTATCTTGTTTAAATACTTAAGATTATTTTCACAGGAATGCCTATAAATGTTTTCTATTCCATTTTTCAAGTAAGATAAAAGAGTAGTGATATTAGCATAGCAATACCCCACCTGCACTCATATTCTCCTGATTTAACTTGCTGAAGAACAGAATCTGAACTAAAAGACAACATCAATATCATTTGATCTGCTGCTTCTGCAAAAAGAAATCTCACATATCTGAATATATACAAAAGTATCTGTTTAATGGTAATGCAAAAAAATAGCACTGGGTGACATTATAAAACAATGACCACTTTCCAGACATGAGCTATCCCTGTGTTCCAGAAATCCATCCCATATCTGCCAAAGCATCACAGTGACTTTTCTGTGCAGTGCAGGAGGTAAGATGGCTCCAGTTGCCTGCTTTAAGTGCAAACAGCTCAGGAGGCAGCCATTGACAAGGCAGGACAGCGGTGCACTAAGTGAGCACAGGACAGCTAATGTCACCCCCCGCTGCTTTTGTTAATACTTCTGTCAGCTCAGCAACGCCGCGACTGCTGCTGGAAAAAAAACATGCCTGGCATTTCTGATGGCTTCCTGCGGAGTTACATGGAGAAGAGACAGACAGCCTGAAGGCTCAAAATGAGATCAGTGCATGGAAAACATGCCTCGCATTTTCATGCCTGTCTCCTTCTGCTGGGGAGAGGCATGGGGGGGAAGGGACAAAAGGAGGAGGGGAAGGTAAATGAATTATGTTACATAAACAGACTGCACCAACAGCTCTGATAGCATGAGGAAGTCATCATGTTAGAGAGCATGAATGCGACCCCTGGCCACTGGCAAAGCATCAAGAAAATTTGGTGATGGTATTGAGAAATAAAATAGCTATTTCTATATCTATGTACAACTATCACAGCACTGTGATGACTGGGTTTAAATACTGAAAGTCTGACCCTTGGCTTCCACCATGGGATGCTAACTCTTGGGCCAGTGGGGGAATGATGTCACTGAAAAAAACAGGTACACTGCAAAAGATGAGGGAATGAGGTCATGTCTACTCCTCATGACAAAATCTCCCCAGTCTTGTGGCAAATGGCTCTGTGCAGTGCATATCCAACATCAAAGATTTGATCTGGAGTCACCATGGTGGGGACTATGCTGAAAGCAAAGGGCAGGATGCTGGCTTTTGAGTAAAGAGGTTAAATTGACAACATCAAAGTTACCATCTTCCTAAGAGTCACCCCTATTTACTCCACAACTCATGTCTTCCCCCAGTGTTTCTGAACCTGCCTCTTCCTTATGTTGGGAAGAAACCTAAGAGAAGGGCATCCAGTCCAGTGCAGGAACAAAGAGGGAACAGCAATGTTTTGACAAGATGACACATGATGGAAGTACCAAAGAGGAAGCAGGGAAAATCTTAGAGAAAAGAATCTGTCCAGTTCTCATGGGGAGACAGGAAAAAAAGTAGGATACGTACAGGGAGGAAGAAAACGTTTTCTGGTATTCATCAGGAAGAGATGTGAACGAACTATCAACCTATACAAAATTGGCACACTCTTCCAGAGATAGTAAATACATTTGATCAAGGCACTGCTCTGAGTATGAGTAAAGGTGGGGGAGCAGGACAGGAATTCTCAGGGTCCCATAATTTGCCATGCCTTAGGCAAATTCAGACAATACCATCCCATAAGAGACTATCTTGGCTGCTATGCCCAAATTTTTTTGTGTTACTTCAAAAAGTTAATGTTTATTGCTCTTCAAGAAAAGTCTACATAGGAGTTCATACAGAGGCTGGAAAACTGTAATTGCTGTAAGGAAACAGATAGTGATGATATCTACTGTAGCCTGAATGCACCTGAACCCCAAACTGAAAAGAAGAGATAGGCCTTCACATGCAATTCAGCCTCTAAAATGCCATCTCCCCAGAGAAAATTTTCTAGTTCATCTTTCATACCTTTTCACTCTCTGCAAACTCCTGCAATATAATTTGTCTCTCCACACACAGTTCCAAGAAGTCTTCTGAATGGAAACTTTCATGTAGAGCAGGGAAGAATGTTAGTTGGTTACAATCCAATCCCTTCTTATCCATCTCTCTTTCTTCTCCATTTAACGTCAGGTCTCCTGCACCAGTATAAAAGAGATTGCAGTTTTAGTGGCAGCTGGATGACACCAGAAGCATTTGCAATTGGACTTTCGCCCAATCTATTCTACTTTGGGAAATACCATTATTTATCTGCAAAAAACAGGGAGGAGAGAAGTAAAATCTGTGACTGCTGAAGAAGGATGCTTAGTTCAGGGAACGAAAGACAGATACATGCAGTCAGTCATAATTCAGACTAAATTCCTATAATCACAGAAGATTAGGGAATTAGGAAAAATTTAAAATGGTAGTCTTCTGGGAACACACACTGAGCAAGCTCTTAAGAAAACCCAAGGAGAGACAATCCACTTACATCTTGCCCAAGCTGTGTCCCAAGTTTTGCATATTCATGGAGTCCATACAGTTAGGAAAGGCATGATGAGCCTTCTTATTGAGGCAGACTGTAACCCCTTTCATGCAGAAACTCCTTCGTTGGAGTCTGTAACTATGACCTCCACTCTCACTTGTTTTCTAGGCCCTATCACACTGAAAAGTGTACAGCACTACTGCATGTTTCCAACAGTGTACATTAGAATCTTGACTTGGAGCAGTTGTACATGTGGCTGAAATCCACAGCCACAGACTGACATTTCCAAACTACAGTTCTTTCTCAATTACATTTTTTTGCCCTTTCTGAAAAACTTTTGACTTCTGTACCACATTTCAGTCCCCTCACCGCCCCTCTGCTTTTTATGTCTATGTAACAGAAAATCTGGCCTTGAAAAATTAAAAATGTTGAGAAAATAATAAGATTTTGAAAAATCTGGTTCTATTTTGAACAGTTTGGCATGTTAACATTCTTGTTGATTTCCTTCCACTCTTCATTATTTTGTACACATTTTTGGAAAGTTACAATTCCTATTACCACTTCTCTGTGCCATCTATAACCTGGTTTAAAATACTGTTTCAGAGGTAGAACCATAGTGTCTACTAAAAGCAGGGGAAAAGGCTGCACTTTTCCTTCTGATTTTAAGCAACTGGGAGCTTTCAAGGTGCCCAAGAGTGCCCAAAGCTTTCATTTCAAGATAGCTTTTTTGCTGTAGATCTTTCAGATGGCAAAATGAGAGCAGCAAATTCTGAAGACAGTTTTTATATTACCTCTAACAATTGCATCAGCTTTTCCCCAGAAGTTACAGTGACTTTTTAGCCCAGAGCACTGACATTAAGTTTTTTTCACTGTATTAAATTCTGTCCTAGAACTCCATACACTAATTCCAATTATCTTTGACTGTTTGGGTTCACCCTCTTCATGATGTAATTTAGCCCTAAAAGATTACCTGGATTCACTTCAGCAGGGGAGGTTGTTTCATTTCTGTTTGCTAGGAGAACCTGGAAAGAGACTAGGTATGACCAGAGTAGAATATGCAGACAGGTGAACATAACTCAAAACTGTTTTGCAGAGAAAAACACAGATTAGAACTATGTTGCAAATAAATACCTTCAAAATTCAATTAAACTCGGAAAGGAACCCAAAGGAACAAATGTCAACAATTAAGCAAAAAGACTATTGTCTCTTCAAAGAAGACCCTGCGTGAGGCCAGTTATAGGATAAAAATCATACCACTCTACAGGAAACTGTGAGAATCCAAGCTTTACATAAAAGCTGCAAATGTCCTAGATATGGGAACCTCATTCTGAAATGCTTCAGTTTCTGGTTGATAGTATTGGCACTTGGAGATTAGAAAGACAGACAACAGTACATACCCCACATATACAATTCAATGTTTAGTTTAAACTACTCTAATTCCCCTTTTGATCATTCACCAGTTCTAGCAGCCCTGATAAGCACAAGACTAACAGGACAGTGCAGCCTTCTAACTGGACTTTGTTGCATACATTGGGAAGCACTACATCCTTGAGATACTACAAGCAGAAAAGTATGGACAGGTTATACTGTCCTCAGTCTGGGGAGATTGTATACAAGAAAAGAGGGAAAATCATTCTGTTGCTGTTAAACACATTGCAGCCTCTCTTGCCTCTCTTATCTTCTTAAAACCAGACCCCTTCAGTGGGTTCTCTATGCATGGCACCGCATATTGATGAGTCAGGTGATAAGAACCAGAGGAAAGAGATGCACATATTTGTCAAAGGTTGGACTCCATGATCTTGGAGGTCTTTTCCCACCTTAATGACTTTGTGATTCTATAAAGTCACCAGCCCAGAAATTGTGCACCTCTTGCAAAAGCTTTCTACCTCACTCTTCATTCTCATCATTGCTGCTCGAGTGTTCACATCTTGAATCCTCCTCCTCATTCGTGAAGGCCCCTCATAACGATCCAGAATCCATCGTGGCTCCGAGGATCGTGATGCATCTCTCCATGGGCCCCTTCTGTAGAAAAGTTGCTCCTCAAGTATCATCCAGTCCTTGGCTGCTTTGCTGTAACCACACTGCTGCATCTGCGGGACAGAACCACTTTGTGCCATGTTTTGAACACTTCCCTCCCCTCAACCAGCAGTGGCACCACCCCAGTGATTCAAAGGGATGTGCCCAACCTACCAGATGGGATAAATGCAGAGGGAACACTGCAGTTCTGGCAAACACAAGCCCAACTGACCACTGGAAGTGTGCTGCAGGAGATTTTGCTACTCAAACCAGTGATAGTTGGACTAGAAGATACGGTGACAAATATACAAGCATGTCACAAACTTGCAAATGGCTGCTTTCATTAGATTTCCAACTCGAAAACAGTGAGCCAGAAGAACTGTATCACAGAGGTTTTATTCACTTCATTTTTTTTCTGGCAAATGTGTCTGTCAAATGGCAACAATCATGCTCGCTGAAAACACAGTCTGAATGTCTCAGTCAGAAGTAACTGTGCTCCCTCCCAGCTAGGCATAAAATTAATTATTTCTACTTAGTAGGTGTGTTCAGGGAGTTGGGGGGCACTAAAATATCAATTTAAAGGAGAGAAGAAGTGAGATTTTCAAAGAAGGAAAAACTTGTTGGTCTCTGATGGCCAATCCTGAAACAGAAACATACCTGTGACATTTTACTGTCTGTAAGCTTGAGATCTCTTTGAAAAGCTTTACTGGCTGCTAAGATAAAAAAAAAAAGTGATAGTCCTCACTTTCATTGCTGCCACTGTGAGAGTGGAATAATTCATTAAAAAAAAAAAGAAAAAAGGCTCCTGAAAATAAAGTGGGTAATCCAATTGCTGAGTGATGCTGTCTGTATCACTCTTCAGTGGTAATGTCAGGGATGGAGTATCGTCTCATCAACTCTCAGCAATTCTTTATACATACTACTCCTCTCACTTCTAAAATGCCTGATTTCACAGGGTAGTCCAAGAGCAACCTTTCAACAACAGAAAGCTGTTGCACAATATTCCTGTTCTTTACCTGTATGTGGTTCTTGTACAAAGAGGCATACAGCTCCTGTCCAATTCTCCGGTACCGTTCCATACATGACACAAATCCCTAAAAGAAACATCAGAACACATGGCACCAAGTTGCTGCAGGTATAAATTCTGTGAGGGACAGAAGCAGGCATTAGTTGCTCTGCCTTTTACAAGAACAAGTAGGAAATATGGCCTGTGTCTGCAATTTTGGTGGCTCTCCAGACAGTACAATGATGACACAATCATCTGAGAGCAAGTTACACACTTACAATGTAGTCATGATCTTAACAAGGGTCATTAGTAGAACTACTAAGAAAACAGCAAATAAAATTTAAGGCTTCTTCTTTTGAAGCTGACTTAGTACTGCAAGTAGCATAAAAGACATTTATCTGTTGTAGAGACCTTGACTGAAGTAAGGATCTATAGTGATCCACCTGATCCTTTCTGCATAAACAGAAAATGCTAACAAAGGTATGGTCTAGATCTCCTTTTCTAAAACAGAAGACTTGGTGTATAAATACACTATTTAATGGGATTGTGATGCAAAGATATGTGAGCTAGCTCTAGAACTGGAAACTTTGAGAGTTGTGCTAGTGCAAGACAACACCCGTAATAACTGCCTCTGCTGCTCTATGCTACTACAGACATTTTTGTTTCCTGATCAGAAGGACAAAGCATATGGAATGGCTGTGTGTATAGCTGAAGCATTAAACAACTGCCAAGTAAGCTACTGGCTTGTTTCATCTTATTGCATGAAGATAACTGAAGAACCAATATAGAACTCTGTTTTAAAAGGCTGTCCAACACTCATGGGACTGTTTGAGTCTTGTAACTCTAACTTTTCTAAGCAAATGCAAGAATAGCTGCTCCAGCTGTTCCTCTCCTTGCTCATTATCTCTTGGTGTAACTGCTGACAAGTGGCCACCTGGGAAGAGTTCAGCATCACAACCTTCTTAATAACAATCACAGGTAAAAATTCTCCTGTTTGACCGTGTATTTCCCAGAAAAAGATTCTAACTATCCTATTACAACTACATGCTGCTGTGTCTGATCTGGGCAAACTTGCTTTAAAATTTTTCAAATAAAAGCTCTCTGAAAGAGCAACTTCTTTTTCCCCTTAAGTCAGTGGTACAACACATCAGGACCTCACTCAGGATAATGCTCCTAATCACTACTGAAAGAAGCAGAATCCCCAGAATTCCCACAGTATCAAAATAAACTAGAAATATCTGTTCCATGTGCCAGCCAAATATGTTGGAAAGATGCAGGCTTACTTGAACATGATTCTGAAGTCAATATAAGATTCTTCAGCCTTCCCAGAAACTTTCACAAGGTACACCAAAGCCATGAAATTAAAAAACAGGATTACAGAAAGTAGCAAAAGTGTTCTTTGATAAATTGATAAATTGATCTGTCCTTTGATAAATTCCTAAGGATTAGAGGTGGCAGAGAAGGCAGAAGCTGTTCAGAGATTGTATAGGAGAGATGAGAGTGCCCCCAGCACCATCTGAAGATTCTCATGACCACCTGAGCTTCCCTGACAAAGGTGAGATTTCTGTGAGTCACAGCATGAGGCTAAACTGGCTGTCAAAGTCCTGGCCTCTCACTACCTAAAGCCTCGGATCAGGTGGGTAATTTTTAAATGCATGGACTCTGTGCCCCACTGGCGGTGATTCCTCACAGCAAACTGTCTAGCTGCTGCTTGCACTGTGCTATAATTAAGTTAACATACAAGGTCTGTGTGGTGTGCTGATCACTGCTGGCTGCCAGCCAGGTCTGTACCCCTGCCGCGAAGTCACATTTATTGGTGTTTCCCTGCAGGAAGCTCCTGTTTTACACTGATGAAAGTCATTATATTTTTGTTTGTTTAAAGCATCATTAAACCTGTAATCACAGTTGTGGCCTCACAAAACTATTCCATAATTCATATAAAACTCCCATAAAGCCTGACCTAGAAAGCAACAGCATCTCTGCTGTTAAGACAGGCTCAGTACAGGAGAAGAGCTGAGATCAGTTGCATGTGGACATAGGGCAAAAGCCATTCAGAGTAGACAGCCAATGCCTCCAAGTATTAATAACCATTTTAGATACTCACAGGCCACTCAAGCCAAGTCAGTGCTCTACTGGAAGCTGTTTCAAAGGTGCTCATAATCTATATTTCACTCATGGTCACCGTTCAGACCCCTAAGGTCAAAGCCCACATTGCAAAGATTCTCACTGACCCAACTCCTAGCCTTTGAAACATATGAAGGGTCCTAAGAAGGAAAAATTCTGCTAGCCACATCTGGTCAACTGAAGACTATCCAGTTTGGTTTCCAAATGACCTACAGCTAGCCATCTTCAAACAGATGAATATGTCCCTATTGATCATCCCCACAGGAAAACCATTTGGCTGTAAAATGAAATGAACAGTTAAAAAAATTGGAGATGATTGGGAAAAAAAACCTACATAAGCCAAACCAACCAACAAAACCAAAACCTGAAAAAGATACTCAATAAACATGGAGAATATAGACCAGACTATTATTTATTAAGTGTTCAGTTAAAACAATTACACTATAACTCTTAATGAACAACTAGTGCAAACAAATTTCTAACAATTAAACAGATTCCATTAAAAAATGTAGGTGTTTATCCTTTAAAATGGCAACTCTTTATGCAGTAGATTAAATACAACAGTGTCACAGTGTAGTATTTTAAACAAGAACAATATACCAGCTTTGGTAATTGTTAATGTAGTGTTACATAAAGTTTGAGTTCCATATGCAGAAAACAGGTGTAAATATAAGAAATATAATGTGCATTTTAGGGAAGGGCATACTAAAAGGCCATATTGATCAATCCTTTCCTAAAAATCTGAGTATGAAACCATGCTTTAAGTCTTTTTTTATACAGATTTCTCTACTT